GGTAGCTACATGCAAAGGCCTAAAGAAAACAAATACAATTACAATTACTTAAAACTAGACATGTACTAAAAAGTACATAGCAATAATATAAAATAAAGTATATATAATAATAAATAAAGTAAATAAGTAACAAAGTACATAACATTTAATTTATAAGATGTGCAATAAAAAAAACAATGAAACCTATCACACCAGATTTGTCTCCTGATGCACCAACAAGATGCGCCTAGTTCGCCAAACTTAATGCTAAACATATCGGGAATTGTGTTCCCAGACAACATATCATTACAAATGGTGAGCATAAACGTGAATGGCGAGGGGCTTCCACCCTCAATGTAAAAAAGATTAAACTCACTCACTCTCAACCTAATCTTTGGTACCCTAAATTTGATACTATTAATCAGAGCACAGTCAGCATATTTTAAATTATTAAGAATGTTATATATAAAGATGACAGCATGTGTCCTTCTCCTAGAGGCCAGCGAAGTTAAATGAAATGTTTCCAACACACATTGATCTGTAAGAGATCATTGTTGGATACATGTTGTTTCTTTTAATGTAAATATAACGAAGGAAACGTTTTTGAACCTTCTCAATTTCGTTACAACGAATGTAACAATTGGGAGCCAGATATTTGACGCATATTCAAGATGCGGTCTTACAAGAGAGGTATAAAGTCTTGTAGTTGATTGTATATCGAAATCTTTACTATTACGCATAACAAAACCAAGAATCCTATATGCCTTGTTAATCAGGTAGTTGTAATGATTGTTAAATTTAAAATTGTCCTGAAAAATCACTCCTAGGTCTTTAACTTCCTTACACCTCACAATTTCCAATGTAGTAGTCTTCAATGACTGTATTGATCTTCCGGAAAAAAGAAACAACACTTTTTAGTATTAAGAAGCATCTTGTTCTCCTTAAACCAGTCCAGAGCCAAGTTCAAATCAGTTTGGAGAGCCCTAGTATCATCAATGTTATTAATTGGTTTAAATAATTTAAAGTCATCCGCAAACAAGAGCCCCAAAGACACCCTCAGACTCTCAGGCAAATCATTAACAAAGATTAAAAACAAAAGAGGGCCTAATATACTGCCCTGGGGTACCCCGGAGGTGGCAACATATTGATTGGAATAAAGATTACCTATCTTAACTCTTTGAACTCTCGAAGTTAAGTATGAAGTTAAAAACCACAGCGACTCACCTGATAACCCGAGATCTGCCAGTTTTTCAATCATAACACAAAAATTCACCTTATCATAAGCATTTGCACAGTCAGTATATATGACATCAAGTTGCTGTTGGTTTGATATTTCCTTCGATACATGTTCAGAGAACACACATAGGTTTGTAACTGTTGACCTTCCCGGCAGGAAACCATGTTGATATTTTGAAATTCTATCAGATACGAATGAGTATATGTAGTTATATATAATTCTCTCAAATATTTTAGCCAGACTATTTAGTAAGCTGATAGGTCGATAATCGTGAACATTCTCCCTCTTTTCCTTTTTAAATATAGGTGTTACAGTGGCTTCTTTAAGCTTGTCAGGAAAATATCCCTGTTTCAGAGCTAAATTAAAAATATGTTTAAGAGGGGCGACCAGAAAACTAGCACATCCGTTATATATATAAGTAGGTATATTATCAGGACCAGTTGTTTTTTGGGCTTTAAGGTCTTTATGCTGGATAGAATGTCATCATCGGAGACCTGAGGGAAACGAAAGCCGCTCTCACAACGACAAAATTGATGTACAGGGGTATTTGGTTCAAATACAGACTGAAAATATTGCGCAAACGCATCAGCAATACTCTGTTCATCTCTCAAGTTCCCATTATCTGAGTTCATCCTCCTTGGCACACCCCCACAATGTGATCTGTTGCGCACGAATGACTAGAAGGTACTGGGATCGTTATTGATATTATTGTTAATTGTTTTTTTATAATTGGCATAATTTAATCTTGTCAGTTTTTTAATATCATACCTTAATGATCTAAATTCATTAATATCTGACAAACTTACTCTACCTCTAGCTTTTAGAGCATGTAGGTGGTTTTTCCTTCTAGTCATACGAACCAAGTCCGAGGTGAACCAAGGAGGATACCTTCTGACCCGAAAAGTGTCCCTTACCATGTACTTGGGTATCGAGGCATCCAAACATCCATACATGTGTTTATAAAAAGCATTAACACTCTCGTTCACATCCTGACAAGACAATACATCCGACCAGTCACATTCGCTCAAAAGATTAAATAACAGGAGGAAGTTACCCTTAGTAAAATTATATTTATAGCCCCTCACAAACGTACTCATTTCTCGCTCCCTCTGCAACGACAACTCTATGTCCAATGCTGGGTGATAAGTATCCTCCGTAAGCAGGGGACACCGTGAAATTATCGCGTCAACATTTGAAATGACTAAATCCAATTGTCTACCCATACTATTATTTACAGTATTCAATTGCCTCAAATCATGTAGGCTCAAAAATTGTTGCATCAGGAGACATTTATCATCAGACCCTAAACAAAAATATGGCAGGTTAAAATCACCTAAAATTAATATCTTATGATTTAAACTAGCTAAAATATTCTCTAATACACTTAAAAATCTCTCAAAGCTATCAATACCACTGTTAGGTCTCATATAGACAATACACATATATAAAATAGACTTTTTAAGTTTTAATTTAATTAGGATACATTCATTATCACAGTTTCTGTCTATTACCTCATAAGAAATTTCCTTTTTTATTGCAAAGAGGACACCTCGTCCTCTAGTTTGTTCTTCACTTCTTCTATCTCTTCTTATCACTGAATACCTTTTGTCAAACAACTCTGAATCATGGATACCATCACATAACCATGTCTCTGTGAAAGCTATGACGTCATAATCTTCGGATAGTACACTCGTGTGAAGGGTCTCTGTCTTTGTTCTAAGTCCACGTACATTCTGATAATACACCGACAATGTGTGAGCACCAGCAGGACTGGCAGTATTCCCAGTTGGACATTGGATATTTTGGTTGTTTACTGAGGATCCTGTAGATTTTCGGGCATCCTCTTCCTGGCAAAAAATTTAGAGACTATCGCACCGTTTGGCCATATTTCTTTGTTCCAGGCTTTTCTAAAATTATCCTGATTTATGGTAACCTTCATTGAGTTATATAGTTCTGGATACTTTGATTGATGTGCTTCACAAATAACCTCTGGGAATTCTCGCATCAAATATTTCTTCAGATCTTCAGGCTTAGTGTTAGGTTTGAGCCTAGAAACATGGAGAGAAATATGTTTAGGAACCGTCTGAATATCCGTAGTAGCCTCGTTTCGTCCTACCACAAACTTTCTCTTACGGTTACCTGGTTTACGTTGAACGGTTTCCCACTTTGAATGATCTCTTCTATTATTTTCCAGATTAACTACTTCTTGCATTACATTTTGTTATTGGGCACTTAATCTGCTCTGACGTACTCTTGCTCTTGACAGTGTTTACACTCGCAGATGATCTAGTTACTCTGGTTGCATATGTTTCGGATCGAGCTATCTGCTTTTCACTTAAATTGTTTGCAAGTATTGTATGAGATGTTTGCGCTACACTTCCACAGGCAAGATTTAGTTTATTACTATTCTCTGGTTTATTAATATTGTTGTCACATTCCGTGGAATTTGCATTGTTCTTATTGTTTACATAGCCAGATATATTATTAAGCTGGTTTTCGTAACTATTTATTACCGTCTTCTGTAGATCACAAGTATACTCTAACTTTTCAGACATATTTCTCATTAAATTTAGTTTTTTCTCAAGAAAACATATCTCTTTTTGTAGAATGATAACTTGAGTGTCATTGAGTTTTTTCATCGATGATCGCATTCTGGGCACACCACTTCTTGTTACAATCATCGCAGAACCAGTGTATATTCTTATTTTCGCTAAAGTTTTTCACCCACGTATCTTTGACTGATACACAGTTGTTATGAAATTTGTTATTACACAAACTATACTTTATAAACTTGGCACTAACTAAGAAATTGTCGGAGCATTTAAAACACAACTCCGTATCAGACGCCATCTTGTTGTTTTTTTTAGGCAACGGCCTAGCTATATGTTGAAACACCGGTTCCCAATAGAACACCGAAGTTAAGCGACGTAAGACGATACTGGTAAGTGGACGGGTGACCGGTTCGAAACTCTGTATCGTGCTGTTGTCCAAGGGAAAAGTGTAAAATCTATTGATACACACTGCTCATTCACGCCGGTTCGAGGCCGGATGAGATCGGATATCTCGTGAGTAAGAGTTAATTTAGACACTTCCTAAGTCGGTAGGCCACTGACCATGATATGGCCGAGGACAGCGGTTCGGATTCCGCGTAAACAAAGTAGGCCCCGTCCAGATTAGCCCTGGCAGCAAAAAGGAGACGTTAACTGAAATCTTTACTTTACTTTACTTTAGTCCATTATGAAGATTATTATAAGCGTTATTATGGTTTATTAATTTATTATGGGTTATTCATTTATTGATGTACACAACGCCATAAGTGGTAATAAAAATTGGCGCCGGGAGGCACGTATAGCCGCCCATACTCAAATATATTAATATCTCGAAAACTGCGACTTTGACTGATTTTGATGTTATTACAAATTTTGTTGCAAATATTATTCCTAATCTTAATTTGAAAACTGCGTATCGCTAGCTACTGTAATTTTGGAGTTATGATTTTTTAAAATTTTTGTCAAATAATAAAGGACAACATTGCTGATCGCGGCATAATGTGACCAACATAGCGATAATAAAATTCGGTTTGAACTAATTTTTGCAGCTTTAATCTAAATCTGTTACAATCATTTGCTCTATAAAGTAAAATGAAGAGCTGCTCGGTATCTTAAATTATACAACAAATTTAAATATTTTGGCCAAAATTTCATTTAGTCAGGTTTATAGACTTTAGTGTCATTATCGATATGATTGATGACGTGCATCGGAAAACGTTTTGCGATTACAATACCTATATTTTCTAATAAGTATAAGAAATCGCCAGCTTCAATTTTGTTTCGTAACGGGTAATCAGCCATTTTACACATGGTTTTAAATACGTCTTTGATGTCATTAAGCGAATAACCATAAGCAGGCCTGTGGTTGATAAATAACTTCACAAATTCTACAAAGCTTATTTCAGTCCTAACGACTCCAGTTTCGTCAAAATCTCTGTATGTTATGTCAATCATCATCGTCTCGTGCTTAAAAAATGGATTAGGTACGTTTATATTTAGATCATTGTACCGGGTGTCCCACTAAGAATAGGATCTAGGCTGTATCTCGGAAAGTATTAGCCGTAGGGTTTACGGAAAAAAATATTTATAACTAAAGGGGCTATGAGAAATTGCTGGAAATTATTTTCAAGTTTGTAGAACGACCGCTAGGGGGCGCAACTGCAACAAAAAATATGAAAATGGAGTTTTTACACAATTTTGCCTAGATAAGGTGTACTATAAGTAACAGCTTCACAATCTTCAGTAAATTTTGAATATTTTTTGTTAGAGCCATTTTCCCCTATCTACCAAAATAAAGTGGTGGGGGAAGGTTAGATCTATTTTTATTTAAATATTAATAACTCTGGACTGGATGATCGGAATCCAACAAGCGAGGGTTCGTTTAAAAGAGCGTTGCTTACTCTATATCGTACCATATAAATAATAATAATAAGCTTTTGAACGTAGACGCTAGGGGGCGTTGTCTTACAATTTAACAAACATTGCGCGTTTTTTCAAAAAAAAATAAATGCAATAATATATGTAATTTTAGCTGATAGTAAACAGTAGCAAAAGATTAAAAAGTCAGCGAAAACCGCATTTTGATATCTTCTTTCAAACCGAAGATATTAGCAAAATTATAATAAATACCAAAAAATAAGTCCTTAATTACCTTATTTTTACAACACGGTATCAGTGGCCCTCTTAATTATGCCCATTCTAACAAAAAAATAAGATAGAAACAGTTAGTTTATTTTAAAATCGACGAAATACCATAATACCAGAGGTTATATTTAATAATTAAGATATTAATAACAGTGAACAAGAAACGATGGTTCAGTGAAGTCATGGTAGTCTTTGGAAAAAAGTTGCTTTTGACGTAATAGTATAAACGTCAAATTGTTCTTAGATCAACATTTTGATAGTCTTATCAGCGTTTTTTTATCTTTTAATTGCTTTTTCAAAATGCCTCTATTATTTGAAATAGTTGAAGTTGTTGGCATTTTATGCGTCTACGTTCAAAAGCTTATTATTATTATTTATATGGTACAATATAGAGTAAGCAACGCTCTTTTAAACGAGCCCTCGCTTGTTGTATTCCGATTATTCAGTCCAGAGTTATTAATATTTAAATAAAAACAGATCTAACCTTCCCCCACCACTTTATTTTGGTAGATAAGGGAAAATGGCTCTAACAAAAAATATTCAAAATTTACTGAAGATTGTGAAGCTATTACTTATAGTACACCATATCTAGGCAAAATTGTGTAAAAACTCCATTTTCATATTTTTTGTTGCAGTTGCGCCCCCTAACGGTCGTTCTACAAACTTGAAAATAATTTCCAGCAATTTCCCATAAATTTCCCATAGCCTCTTTAGTTATAAATATTTTTTTCCGCAGCCCCTACGGCTAATACTTTCGGAGATACAGCCGAGAGCTATTCTTAGTGGGACACCCTGTACAGAGTGTCCCATTTTGGTTGAAATCATACGGTATCTCTGTTATTAGTAAAGATAGGAGGATGCGGTTTGCACAAACCTGTCCCACTTTTTTGTCAAACGAAAGATGCTGTATACAAAATTTTCATAGCCCTCTTCGTTTCTGACTACAGGGTCTTTTCGAAAATTTTACAATTTGGGACAGCCCCCATATCTCCGTTATTATGTATGATATTGAGAAGGTGAAAACTGATTCTTGTAGAACTTTTTACGTAGAATGCAGTAGCGTAGTCTGTTTTTCTATTAAAACAATATTTTTGAAAATATGAACTAAAATTATGATTTTTCAAATGGAACACCCTGTATATATATAAATCATACGATCCGTCTTGCTATGAGCTTCTCAAAAATATATATCACTCTATATTTATTTTGACTATAAAATGGAAAACAAATATCTTGCAGTATAGGTATACAGGGTGCGTCTCAAAAGTGGCTCACCTCTATAACTTTTTTATTTTTTCAGTTAAAAAAACAAGATTTGGTATGTTAGTATATGACATAAATTAGGACTGATTGACGTATTCAATTGTTTTCGGTCACTTCCTGTTTCACCGGAAATGACTACAACTTTTGATTTTTAAACGGCACCCTTGGTATTTTTCTATTTTTTTACTTTATTTGATAGAAAATAACACTCTGAATAGAATGACATATCATATGTCAACTTTTGACATTTTCGCATATGGTTTATTTGGCATTATAACTTGCAGTTCGTAACGAAAATTTGACTCGAAATACCAAGTATGTGGTATCAAATTATTCGTAAAAAAATACTTTTTTCCAAATATGCTAATGAGCCATCGCAGTTCCATTTGAAAAAATTGAGAAATTATTAAAAATACGATTTGAGCATTTTCTAACTGGCCAGGACAAAACACTAAAACATTAGACGATCCAATCTATTTTTCCAAAGCTCTTTGACTAAGAATTAGTGTTTTCAACATAGCCATGGCACTCTAGATTGAAATTTAAAATACAATTTTTCATTAAGCGAGAATGTCAAAATTTGACGTATGATATGTCGTTCTATTCAGAATGTCATTTTCTATCGAATAAAGTAAAAAAATGCCCAGGATGCCATTTAAAAATCAAAAGTTTTAGTCATTTCCGGTGCAACAGGAAGTGATCAAAAACAATTGAATACGTCAACCTATCCTGATTTATGTCATATACTAACGTGCCAAGTCTCGTTGTTTTATCTGAAAAAAATAAAAAAGTTATAGGGGTGAGCCACTTTTGAGACGCACCCGGTATAACAAATTGTATAAGAATTCTTGCCATTTAACTGCTGATAGAGAAATTTAATTCCACATTGTGTTTGTCATAATGTGGATCAACCTGCTCTCACTACCGGTTTCGGAGCCCTACTCCATCATCAAGTGAGCTTGGGTCGATTCCACAAAATGACAAACACAGCGCAGAGTACCTAATTCCGATTTGTCGGAAAGTAATGGTTAGATATTACATGGATATTACCGTTAGTAGCGGTTAAATTATAATATCTAGACTTGGACTTTTGACAAAGATAAAAAGTATCTGGAAATTTTGCAAAATGTTAGGGTGTTAGAATGATTAAATCTTGTATAAAGAATTAGTTCTAGTCATCTGTTGATTTCTGACATGAATATCAAATGTGATTAGTCCTTCTGATTAGCCAAAGAAATTAATGAGTAAAACTAATAGTTCAGCCTGTCTTAATTACAAAGGGATCAAGGAATCCGTAGCAATATTATTTTTAAGACCAGTTGCAAATTCTGTAACAATTTTAATTATTTTTTAATATTGCTGTGTTAATAATTATTACTTCAAATTCAGATGGATAGAAGCCACAGGTCTTTACTAAATCAGGAATCTCATTCAAATTTATACAATCTGATACTCGTCTGGGTAAGTCTATATTTTCATGCTGTAAAATTTGCATATAGAAAAATAAATCCTGCATTTCCTGAAATAACCATCCACTTTTTCCTCCTTCCAAGAGACAATAATATGGTTCTAATTCGGTTCCACCTAGTAGATGTAGCATTTCAATCGATCTGAAAACAGATGCACTATTGTTACATACTTTCTTTCATTCGAAATAAGAACTTTTTTACAAAAATGTCACAAATTATAGCTGGGTTCTGACTTGAAAACATGCATTAGCATTGCTTGAACGGTCGCTTTACAAAATCGCGGTATTTCCCTGGAACGGTCCAGGGAAATACCGCGATTTTGTAACCGAGGCCGAGGCTCCGGCTTCCAAAGTGGCGCTGTTCCCGCCTATACGGTATTTCTGGTCACTTTACCTACCTACTCCTCTACCTGCCGTTATCTCTGTATCCGTAAAAATTCATAAACAATAACAACTTATAAACCCCCCAAATTTGTAAACAATAAACGACATGCAGATGGCTAGAAGAATTTACTTATGTTAGCTTTTCATTTTGGAAATAAAACTATAAAATAAAAAATATAGAATAATCTAATTTATTGGTATTCGATACTTTTTATTAGCTATCTTTTCTTCAGACTGAAGAAGCTTTTTATAAGTTTTATATTTTTGCCAATAATATTTAGATTTATATTCTTCCGATACACGTTATAACCATTAGAATTTAAATTAAAATAGATACATTTGTAAGATAATTATATTTTTCTATCTATTTTCTTATAGACTTTTTACTTTTGAAATAGTTTAGGTTAAACAAAAAAAGTAACATCATTTGAATCATTATTCGAGATACACACACCCTATGCTAAATTTCTTTATCTACGTGTATGTTTTTATCTAGGTATATTCCTTATTCGTGGAAAAGTTAAAAGTAAAATGTTCATGTCAGATAATCAAAATAAAATCAGTCTTACTTTATTCCCATATGTTAGTAAAATGTAATTCTTTTTCTTTGCAGACTATATAATGGGATTCTAATTGGGATTATATTTTTAATCAATTGAAAGTAGCTTTACAAATTTCCTTTTTTTTGGGCCATACTTCTTTGTTTTTTCTTATTTTTGTAAAAGTGTTAATTTGTAACTATCTAATGTACCTAACATATATTTATTATCGATCAAAAATGTCTAGTATAGCGACCGATCAAAGCGCGACGCTACGTACTTACCAGTTCCAGTTACTACTGTTCGCGACCGATGAAAACTCGACACTACGGACGCTCCAGCAGTCGCGCGACCACTGGTACTGAAGCGAAGTACATCGCGGTATTAGGTCGTTACCAGTTACATCTCTTCGTGACAGACAAAGCGGTCGAGATCGCGCGACACTACGTACTTACCAGTTCCAGTTACTACTGTTCCCGACCGACGAAAACTCGACACTACGGGCGCTCCAGCAGTCGCGCGACTACTGGTACTGGAGCGAAGTACGTCGCGGTATTAGGTCGTTACCAGTTATATGTGTTCGCGATAGACGAAGCGGTCGAGATCGCGCGACGCTACGTACTTACCATTCTTACCAGTTCCAGTTACTACTGTTCGTGACCGACGAAATCGCGACCCTAGGAGCGCGAAGTCTAGAGCGAAATATGGCTCTATGCGGTTACTGCGGTTCGAGCTAACTCTAAGGGCGATTATAAATAATTTACAGTTTTGTCGTTATTTTGATCGTCGTTCTTCAGTAATATGTTCCTGATTCGCTGTGAAGCGAGACACGACGTTACCAAGGGATACAAGGTAATGAAAGAGCAAACAATCTAGCTAGAAAAGGAGCGAATACTGCACTAACTGGACCAGAACTGTGCTGCTCCCCAAGTGGAAACCAACTTAAAGTGGAACTCAAGAACCTGGAAGATTCCATCCTTAACCTGGAATGGGAATCCTCCAACTGTCTAAGACACTCGAAGAAATTTTTCAGGACTAAGACCGAGAAAAATCAAAGATTTTCCTTGATTTAAGTAAGAACAATCTTGGGATTTTCACGGTTTTTTTAATAGGACACTATCCCAATGAACATCTCAGTAGATTGAAACTGAGAAACAACGGCGAATGCAGATTCTGTGAAGAAAATGGCCAGAAAGTTCGTACGACTGATATCGAAGATGGAGAATTAACTCCTATAAAACAGTCTCAAATACTGGTTTTTGTGAAAGCCCTGAGACTGTATGATAAGTTATAACTCAAGAAATGGAGAAGTCCCATACAAACAAAATACACACAAAAAATACAAAAAAAATATACAATCTCATCTATCCAGATGAACAAAATAAAATTACACTAAATCACCACAATACACCAAAACACTTTTACTTTTACACTGGACGCGCGTTTCGCTAACCATGTTAGCATCATCAGCAGATGATTATAAACTGCAAGTTAGATTTAGTAGATGATTATAAAGCATTTAGATTATTTTAGCAGATGATTATAAACTGCAAGGGTGATTTAGTGTAATTTTATTTTGCTGTGTAACACTAAAGGTTCCAACCGTCAACTGTAATGTCGAGATGACCTTGAAATGTAATCGGCCTGCAATAATCTTCAAATTAGAGTTAAAAAATTAACTTTGCATTTTTAACTCTAATTTTTAACTGGTATTTTGTACTCGATTTTGTATGAGTTTTAGCAAAGAATATTATAGTTTTAAGAACTCTCGTGTGGAAGCTTTAGTGATTTGTAACACGGTGGCGCTTTTGAACATAATCGAAGCCTGAAAATGCTAATATTTTAAATTTTGAGGGTGCTGGAGAATTCTTAGTCGCTGTGTTCTCGAATTTCTAGGCTCTTCTAGGTCATATTAAAGCGGGACTGGTTTCGCAACAATACATATAAAATTTTATCAAAATCGGTCAAGCCGTTTCGGCGATGGTAACAAAAAACTTAAAAAAACTAGGGTGGGCTACCCTTATCACTTAAGGGTATAAAAATAGATAACAACGTATTCTCAGACCTACTGAATATACATATAAAATTTCAGCAAAATCGATCAAGCCGTTTCGGAGATGGTAACAAAAAATTTAAAAAAAACATCCCCTATTAAAAAATAGGGGATGATGGTAGAACGGTGAAAATTTAGGGTTGTTTGTATTTTGCCAAATAAAAATAATTAAAATATTTTTTTTTCAAAAAAAAAAATGGGGGTGGGCTACCCTTAACACTAAAAATATATAACAACCTATTTTCAGACCTACTCAATATACATCTAAAATTTCATCAAAATCGGCTAAGCCGTTTCGGAGATGGCAACAAAAAAAAAACAACCCGTATTAAAAATAGGGGATGATAGCAGAAGGGTGAAAATTTAGGGTTGTTTGTATTTCTTAATGCCAAATAAAAAAATAAAAACATTTTTTTCTTTTCAAAAACTAAAAAAAATGAGGGTGGGCTACCCTCTCGGCTACCCTTATCAGTTAAGGGTATAAAAATAGATAACAACTTATTCTTAGACGTACTGAATATACAAATAAAATTTTATCAAAATCGGTCAAACCGTTTCGGAGATGGAACAAAAAATTAAAAAAACAACCCCTGCATATATTAAAAAATAGGAGATGAGGGTAGAACGGTGAAAATTTAGTGTTGTTTGTATTTTTAATGCCAAATAAAAAAAATAATTTTTTTTTCACAAAATAAAAAAATGGGGGTGGACTACCCTTACCGCTTAAGGGTATAAAAAATATATAACTACCTATTCTCAGACCTACTGAATATACATATAAAATTTCATCAAAATCGGTCAAGCCGTTTCGGTGGAGTACGGTAACCAAAACTGGTAACACGGAAATTATATAAGATACTATTACATGTAAACTGCGGAGTGCGGAGAACGGAAAGACTGATTATAGCAATAGATAAAATTTAAAACTATAATTTAAAACTATTCAAGAAAGTACACACAAAACAAGGCAACGCCGCGCGTCTATTCGTTCAATTCCGAGCAAAATAGCGAGGCTCCACGAAGTTCCATAGACAGGTCAGATTTTGATGCGAGACGAGACTTCTAGGGTATTAAGATATTCTTTGGTTTTAGTAACAGTGACGTTACGTCATATTTTGATATCGGTGGATTAAATCACAGTTAGATATCGCTTATCAATAGTGTAAATTAATCGTTTCCTGTTGCTCAGAGTTAAAATTGACAAAACCTGATTTCACGGTTTATAAATTAGTATGAATATCGAATTTATTATGCTTACTTTGGGTTGACTTGCCATTGCAAAACACATCTATCGTCCATTCCAAATGTAAAAGCATACTGTCCATCATGTGATAAAACAAAATCACGAACCTAAATTAAATAATTCAGTAAATAATTTTTTAGATAAAGGAAGTAAAAAATCAGAAGGCATAATTAACTTCAACTGATTTAAAATAAGTATTGTACATATAAGGTTCATAATAAAATTATATAACTATTCTTGACTTGAACTGCTAATACAGAAATTCCACATTGTGTGGAATGAAAAAAATTGTTCAACAAACGAAAAATATTGTTCAAAAAAGCTAAAATTTGGCATGGTGGTGGATTCGGTTATGGCCGGCTTCAGTCTGCATAACTTTTCCGGTTATGATATATACTTTTTATACAAGAAACGTCGAAAGTCCTAAAGCATTAACCCGATTCTGAAGAAATTGAAGGGTTATTCTGTATATGCCAGGCATAGTTTCCGGTCCAAACTGTGATTTGAAAAATATTTTATTTCAAAAACAAAAAATATTGCTCAAAAAGGCTGTAGGCATGGTGATGGATTCAGTTATGGCCAGCTTGACTCTACATAATTTATCCGGGTATGGTTGCTACTGCTTATGCAAGAAATATTGAAGGTCCTAAAGCATTAATCCGATTATGAAGAAATGTTGGCAGGTTGTTCTGTATATGGCAGGCGTAGTTTCTTGTCCAAATTGTGATTTGAAAAATATTTTATTTCAAAAATAAAAAAATTTGTTTAAAAAGGCTGTAATTTGGCATGGTGATGAATTCCGTTATGGCTAGCTTGACTCTACATAATTTATCCGACTATAATAGCTACTGCTTATGAAAGAAATATTGAAGGTCCTAAAGCATTAATCCGATTATGAAGAAATGTTGGAAGGTTGTTCTGTATATGCCAGGCGTAGTTTCCTGTTCAATCTGTGTTATGGCCAGCTTGATTCTACATAATTTATCCGGGTATGACAGCTACTGCTTATGCAAGAAATGTTGAAGGTCCTAAAGCATTAATCCGATTATGAAGAAATGTTGGAAGGTTGTTCTGTATATGCCAGGCGTAGTTTCCGGTTCAATCTGTGTTATGGCCAGCTTGATTCTACATAATTTATCCGGGTCTGATAGCTACTGCTTATGCAAGAAATGTTGAAGGTCCTAAAGCATTAATCCGATTATGAAGAAATGTTGGAAGGTTGTTCTGTATATGCCAGGCGTAGTTTCCGGTTCAATCTGTGTTATTGCCAGCTTGATTCTACATAATTTATCCGGGTATGATAGCTACTGCTTATGCAAGAAATGTTGAAGGTCCTAAAGCATTAATCCGATTATGAAGAAACGTTGGAAGGTTGTTCTGTATATGCAGGGCGTAGTTTCCTGTTCAATCCGTGTTATGGCCAGCTTGATTCTACATAATTTATCCGGGTATGATAGCTACTGCTTATGCAAGAAATGTTGAAGGTCCTAAAGCATTAATCCGATTATGAAGAAACGTTGGAAGGTTGTTCTGTATATGCCAAGCGTAGTTTCCTGTTCAATCTGTGTTATGGCCAGCTTGATTCTACATAATTTATCCGGGTATGATAGCTACTGCTTATGCAAGAAATGTTGAAGGTCCTAAAGCATTAATCCGATTATGAAGAAATGTTGGAAGGTTGTTCTGTATATGCCAGGCGTAGTTTCCGGTTCAATCTGTGTTATTGCCAGCTTGATTCTACATAATTTATCCGGGTATGATAGCTACTGCTTATGCAAGAAATGTTGAAGGTCCTAAAGCATTAATCCGATTATGAAGAAACGTTGGAAGGTTGTTCTGTATATGCCAGGCGTAGTTTCCGGTTCAATCCGTATTATGGCCAGCTTGATTCTACATCATTTATCCGGGTATGATAGCTACTGCTTATGCAAGAAATGTTGAAGGTCCTAAAGCATTAATCCGATTATGAAGAAACGTTGGAAGGTTGTTCTGTATATGCCAGGCGTAGTTTCCTGTTCAATCTGTGTTATGGCCAGCTTGATTCTACATAATTTATCCGGGTATGATAGCTACTGCTTATGCAAGAAATGTTGAAGGTCCTAAAGCATTAATCCGATTATAAAGAAATGTTGAAGGTTGTTCTGTATATGCCAGGCGTAGTTTCCGGTTCAATCTGTGTTATTGCCAGCTTGATTCTACATAATTTATCCGGGTATGATAGCTACTGCTTATGCAAGAAATGTTGAAGGTCCTAAAGCATTAATCCGATTATGAAGAAATGTTGGAAGGTTGTTCTGTATATGCCAGGCGTAGTTTCCGGTTCAATCTGTGTTATGGCCAGCTTGATTCTACATAATTTATCCGGGTATGATAGCTACTGCTTATGCAAGAAATGTTGAAGGTCCTAAAGCATTAATCCGATTATGAAGAAATGTTGGAAGGTTGTTCTGTATATGCCAGGCGTAGTTTCCGGTTCAATCTGTGTTATGGCCAGCTTGATTCTACATAATTTATCCGGGTATGATAGCTACTGCTTATGCAAGAAATGTTGAAGGTCCTAAAGTATTAATCCGATTATGAAGAAATGTTGGAAGGTTGTTCTGTATATGCCAGGCGTAGTTTCCGGTTCAATCTGTGTTATGGCCAGCTTGATTCTACATAATTTATCCGGGTATGATAGCTACTGCTTATGCAAGAAATGTTGAAGGTCCTAAAGCATTAATCCGATTATACAGAAATGTTGAAGGTCCTAAAGCATTAATCCGATTATGAAGAAATGTTGGAAGGTTGTTCTGTATATGCCAGGCGTAGTTTCCGGTTCAATCTGTGTTATGGCCAGCTTGATTCTACATAATTTATCCGGGTATGATAGCTACTGCTTATGCAAGAAATGTTGAAGGTCCTAAAGCATTAATCCGATTATACAGAAATGTTGAAGGTCCTAAAGCATTAATCCGATTATGAAGAAATGTTGGAAGGTTGTTCTGTATATGCCAGGCGTAGTTTCCGGTTCAATCTGTGTTATGGCCAGCTTGATTCTACATAATTTATCCGGGTATGAGAGCTACTGCTTATGCAAGAAATGTTGAAGGTCCTAAAGCATTAATCCGATTATACAGAAATGTGGAAGGTCCTAAAGCATTAATCCGATTGTGAAGAAATGTTGGAAGGTTGTTCTGTATATGCTAGGCGTAGTTTCCGGTTCAAACTGTGATTTGAAAAATATTTTATTTCAAAAACAAAAACATTGTTCAAAAAGACTAATTTGGCATGGTATGGATTCCGTTATGGCCAGCTTGACTCTACATAATTTATCCGGCTATGATAGCTACTGCTTATGCAAGAAATGTTGAAGGTCCTAAAGCATTAATCCGATTATGAAGAAATGTTGGAAGGTTGTTCTGTATATGCCAGGCGTAGTTTCTGGTCCAAACTGTGATTTAAAAAAATATTTTATATCCAAAACAAAAACATTGTTCAATATGGCTGTAATTTGGCAAGGTGATGGATTCCATTATGGCCAACTTTACTCTACATAATTTATCCGGCTATGATAGCTAGTTTTCATGCGAGAAACGTCGAATGTCCTAAAACATTAATCCGATTGATTCGAAAGAAATATTGCGGAGTTATATATAACCAATATTTCTGCATCTACATGTAGTTTTTTTCATATTTTTAAATAATTAACTTTTATTTACTATACACATACCTCTACAGGATGTGCTAAATATCCGTTATACTTATATGGACTACCATCAGGAGGAAGGATATGTATTCCAATATGTTTTTTTGACATGAAGACCATGTATCTGTATTGACAGAACGGTAAAATCTGAAAAGTGTATCTATTTATATAATTACAAGGCATTCATCGTACAACATTACCGCCATTTTTCGGATGCATGCGTCTTGAAAACATCCAAACGATGGTCCTAAAAATACACTTCTCGGAACTTTGGTAATTTCATGAATTAACTTCAGCTTGTGCTAAACAAATATTAATAGTAAGAAAGAGCAGATATTTATACAGGGTGCTACAAATTTGGGTACGAGCATTGGTATCTCGGAAATCGTAATAGATGGTTAAATTGGAGCAAAGTTTCGCCTTGGGATGTTCACCAAGATGCCATCAAAAAAGTTTTAAAAATTTCATGGATTGCTGAGTTTTTTGGAAAAACGGATTTTTTTGAAAATCAATCACAAAGAAAATCAAAAAATTAATTGCACATTTTCATAGCCACTTATTAGTGCTATATGACAGTATTTTTAGATTTTCAAATTAGCTGATAATTTGTGCGATACAGAGGCCAACTTAATTTTTTTAAATAAGGACCTGCTTTTTATATCATGTTTTGTATCATGTAAGTACCATGAAATGCCACACTTGTACTATTTTTTTGTTTTCGGTATCTTAACAACAACAAAAGTATTTAATTATTATTTAAAATAATTTCAAGTCCGACTCTGATTATTTAATCTGATTGTACCGTATGATCGAAAAAAACGGCGTCCAGTTGGCTGGAAAATTACGATCGATGACATTTCCCTTATAAATTTACATCTAAAATGACAGCGATCTTCATTTCATAGCCATCGCTGACGCCGTTTTTTCTCGATCATACGGTATTTATCTCAACAATATTGATCATCGCTAATTAACACTGAATAAGGAAAATCGAGCCAATTGAAAGAATCAAATAAATAATATCCAGATCAGAAATTTAAAGATAACATTTTTAACTTTTTTTATTGTGAACTTGTAAAGGCGCTCGGTGGCGTAGAGGTACAAGCTCTCGTCTACCAATCTCAAGGTAGTGGGTTCGAATTCTGCACCCGGCATTTCATCAGCCGACTATTTTTATTAAAAATAAAAATAGTTTGGGTACCTAGGTCGACTCAGCCTTAAATGAGTACTTGGGAGATTTACAATCAGGTAATAATAGGCGGTTGAAGCGTAGTGCTAGCCACATTACCTTCCTTGTATACCGAACGGCTCTAGCATGGCAAGCTGTACCTTTCTACTCCCAAGGCGTTAAACGCTATAGGTATACGGGAGCTATTATTATTATTGTGAACTTGAAATCTCAGTATACTCTAATAATTTGCATAATATTAATCATAGTTATTATAAATAAATTAACTTCTACAAACTACGTAGTTTCTAATGCTCTACATGTTCGAAAGGGTTACCATCCTCTCTATTGCACAAATTTATTTTTCGTTCAATTTTATTTGTAACTCTTTGAACTTTCTTCTTATACTTCCATGCATTGTGTACTCTTTATTGTCAATGTTGAGATGTATTAATTTCACTTTTACAAAAGCTACCAACTACAAATGACGTCAAGTAATGTAAAAGTTTTAAAACTTTTTTGATGGCATCTTGGTGAACATTCCAAAGCGCAACTTTGCCCCAATTTAACCATGTTCGTATCAATTACGGTTACCGAGATACCCATGCTCATACCCCGAATTTGTAGCACCCTGTATATTAGGGTGTCCGTTATTTTCCAAGATGATTTTTTTTTGCTGACGCCCTCTGAAGTTTTAGTTTTTGGTCTAAAAAAATTATCCAACGTAAACAAGTTCTTAATTTTTAATTTACACCGTGCCGGAATCATGATATTTTTCCCATTTAACTAACATGGGATTTTTTGATCTTTTGCATTTCATTTTTTATCTCCAAAGCAAATGAACCTACAGCTTCGACATATTCTCATACAAAATTTTGCGCTCTACAAAAAAGGTCTCTTTGGTTTTTTCCCTAAAAACATTTCTTTAAAAGTTATTCGCAGTTAAAGTTATGCACAATGTTTATTATTTTTTATAACGCTGCAAATGTATCATAACGCTGCAAATTCTAATTGCGCCTTTTAATTTTGACTAAAAAAGGATCCAAAGCCATACTTTTTTCAATAAAACAATATATCTTTACCAACTTTAATATGGAAAACTATTACAGCGCTTTCAGATGGAGCGGACCGTCCGCGACTTCGAGCAAGTATCGTGAGTTTATATGAACAATTTCACATCGGTCGCGTATGCTCCGTCCGGATGATTTCGACCGACGGCTATCTTGAAAAAACACCCGGACGGTCTGCGCGGACGCTACGCTCCATCTGAAAGCGCTGTTACTACTATAATTTAAGTATTCGTAAATAATATTTACGAACACTGAAAGGCAATAAAACAATAACCTTAAATTATAGTTTTGATCAATTGATCATAGATGGCGCAATTAGTTTTCCATATTAAAGTTGGTAAAGAAATATTGTTTTATTGAAAAAAGTATGGCTCTAGATCCTTTTTTAATCAAAATCAAAAAGCGTAATTAGAATTTGCGGTGAATGATACAAAAAATTGATTATAAACTATGGGCATAATTTTGACTGCGAATAACTTTTAAAGGAATGTTTTTATAGAAAAAACCAACGAGACCTTTTTTGTATAGCGTAAAATTTTATATTAGAATAAGTCTTTGTCGAAGCTATACGTTCATTGGTTTTGGAGATAAAAAATTAAACGAAACAGGTCCGAAAATCCCATGTTATTTAAATGGGAAAAGTATCATGATTCCGGCACGGTTTAAATTAAAAATTAAGAGCTTGTTTACGTTGGATAATATTTTTAGAGCAAACACTAAAATTCTAGAGGGCGACAGAAAAAAAAATCAACTTGGGAAATAACGGACACCGTACTGTATATATTGAAATGCGCACTTTATCATTGGCGATTAAGATATATCCTACGGATTGTTTCGGACCGAAGGATTTTAAGAGGTAGGTAAAATTTAAAGGTTTCGACGATTGTTCTATTCGCTCCCTGTATATAGCTCCTAATGGTTGCTTCGGATCATCGTGACATCTATGAAAAAATATCGTTTTTTAGTTTTGCTTACTCGTCATCTTCATATTTTTGTATTACGTCAGATCTGCGTTGTTATATTCTACCAGATATCGATCGGCTCCTATGGTATATAGCGTTGATTTGTCATTTATATAGAAGAAATTCATATCGTTGATACTGTCATAATGAGAACGAGTTTTTCCATAATACTCCCAACACACTTTCTCGACATTATAATTGAAAAGTAAAACTGTTTTATTGGAGTCCTGTAACATAATATTTGATTAATTCGCTTTCCTAATAGTCTAAGAGTTAGCAAGGTTTTCGAGAAAGTATATTAAGAAAGCTGGCTCTTTGTTATATCTTTTACTATGCTCTCTGGAACAGCATGCGGCCCATCTGGCTGCCGATACCCGTGCGTTCACTACTGCGCATCGGAAGAAAATCCTATATTTTTTTTATTTAGTCCGTTAAATTCTAGTATTGGATATAAATCGAAAAAGTTTCCATAGCGCAGCGCGTAGAGTTTCCGACTACGAACCGAGGATTCAGAGTTCGAGACCGGGTCAGAGTAAAAACTTTTTATTTTATTTTCGTCTATATTCTAATAGTAAAGCATTAAATATTTGCCTTTTTTTAATCAATAGAATTATTTACTACTTTACTATCAGAATATAAACGAAAATAAAATAAAAAAGTTTTTACCCCGACCCGGTCTCGAACTCTGACTCCTCGCTTGATAGGCGGAACCTCTACGTGCTGAGTTATGGAGACTCGCTCGGTTTATATTCAATACCAGAATTTAAAGGACTAATAAAAAATAGAGGATCTTCTTTCAATGCGCAGGCGCAGTAGGGAACGCAAAGTTTACCGGCATGCTGTTCCAGAGAGCATAGTAAACGATATATTGAAGATCCAGCTTTCTTAAAATACTTCTTTTCCAGACGTTGCTAGCTCTCGTACTATAAGAACTATATTTTTGAGAAAAACACAACGTTTAACAGACATTACTTTTGCGAAATATTGTTTGTGTCTGAAAGTAGAAATTAAGTCGCTTGTATATAACTTTAGCGTATTATGTATGAATGATTGAAATTTGAATTTTATCGAAAGTCATGGATAATCGAAAAAATCGAAAGTCATGGATATCTCAACCATAAAACAGGGCGTTACAAAAAACATATGTCATCTCTCGTGGGGAGATTCCTCACGTAAAAATAAGATTTATTTTTCATATCAACATAGGTCCGATTCTGCTTTGTTTTGTAGCTACAGGGTGTAAAAGTCTTAATATTTTTTCTATTTATTATAATTTTCTTCCAAGTACTTTTAGTGTTTCGAATGAAATTTCGAGGGTAAAGGTTACTATAACTGCGACATTTTAAAGTTAAAAAAGTGTCGACATATTTACCAGGGACGTGCATATGGGTTATCACTGGAATATTTTTCTAAAAAAAAGCATTGACGCCACTGACTTTTTTCTCTATTTAGTGAAATAGTGTAAGCAGTTTAATGCCGATTAAAAGTCATCTCTTGATATTTTGTAGATTTCGGCCTCCTTGATGAGATAAACTCAAGTTTATTAATTTGCTTTGATCCAATCCACCAAGCAAAAAACCTCACATTACATTTGCAACATTGCAGTCAATCCCCAAACAGTTTGCTTTGTAATGTTGATTTCTAAACGTTGTGTCGTGATTGATGAAACCTTGCTACAGAAACATTGTTTTTGAATGGCGATTAAAACGTTTTTTCTGCAACATTGCAACAAAGATTCAAATGAAAGATCCGCGCAAGTTAATGTTAATTAATAATATAACAAGTATACCATAGGATCGAAAAAAAACGGCGTCTAGTTGGCTTGGAAATGAATATCGATGACATTCTCCATATAAAATGACAGCGATTTTCTTTTCATAGCCATCGCTGACGTCTTTTTTTTCGATCATACTGTGGATCATACGGTATAAGAAGTTGGGTTAGGTTAACGCACTTTTTTTACGTTTCTGGTATCACATTTTATGCTTTTCGAATGAGATTTTAATGAATGTAAATGTAAGTATAATTTTATTATTATGTGTGTTTTAATAATACTTAGCCATAAATAAGTATAACAAATTTTGTTTAGTTTAGTTTGTTTTTAAGCTAAATTTTATGTTTTAGGTTAGCTTTTAGCCAACTGAAAATTGGAGTAGATAAAATCAGGATACGAGTATATCAATCTAATAAAATCACAAATACTATTCAGTATTAATTATTCTCAATAATGTTTTTTTAATGATGTTATAATCATTTGAAATTTTTAAAATAAGGACATAAAGGGGCCTCAAACATTACTGTCACAAGAGGTAAGTTTCTCATTGCTTTTTTTTATTTATTACAACTGATTGATATTATACCTATCTGAAAGTCTACAATTTAATACCCATTAATGTTTCTGTTGATTATAACCTATTACTGATGTATTAGCAACATAAAATTGCTAATGTTCGCAAGAAAAAAAACTGTTTCATTATTCATTCATGTATTTTTAATATCCATTTAGAATAACACCATCATTATTTATTATTAATAAATCAGTTGAAACAAAAAATTACCAACAAAAATGAACGTCGATAATTAATTTGTTAGATGTCACGTTTTTGAAGTTACGTCAAATTTTGATTTCATGTTAATGTTATAACGCAAAATAAGATATAAAAATGCGATATTCTGATGAATCCAAAAAACTTATGCTTAATGTAGTAAACTATTTTCAAAACGATTTAGGATCTCGATTTAAGGCAATTTAAAAAGCGTCCGAAGCACTAAAAGTTCCAGTTTTTCATGCGGGTTCAGATGGTTCAAGAAGCCGCATACGTTAAGTTATTAAAACGGCTGGTACCTCTAAATAAGAATTAAAAATACATAAATATTAAAAAATAATTTTTATATTTTCCCTCTGATGAATGAAATGGTTTTTTAATGCAAACATTATCTATTTTTTGCTAGGTATATTATTTTAGCAATAAGTCAATTATAATTAATAATATAATTTTACCAATATTGTATTGACGAAAAATTAACAATATTGCTAATACATCCCAAATTAGTACTTTCTTGAACGTTACATTAGCAACGTTTCAATAATATTGTGAAATGCAACCTTGCACTGCAATGTTATTTGGCGGAAGATTAAGCTACCCTGAAACCTCGCATAAACCTCCCTACAATGAAAAAAGCAATGTTATTTTGCTTGTTGGGAAGTCTAGTAGCTACCTTTAAAAAATTTTAGTTATTGTTTTATTTCAAATTGCTGTAGGTTCGACTAGTAGCAATAGTAACTAATAGTAATAATATTTAATAATAAATGAGGTAAAATACAGGGTGTCCCAGAAATGAGTGCAGATATTTTAACTGGTAGTATAGTTCAACCCCAGAAACACGCCTATGAGGTTTTTTTTGCGAAAAAAAAATGTTGAAAATTTTATATTTTTCTTGACATTTTCCGGAAAATGTTGAAAAACTTTTGAGTGCCACTGTTCACTCCCCGGGAAATTCGTTTACCGGGCATAGAGAGTGTCGGAGAGAATGCAACGTTGCCACCTCCTACCATACCCACATTCTGCATGTTTATCTATAAATTCAATTATTTTAAGTTGCTAGAGAAAAAAATACGAAAATTCATTTTATTCATATTAGTGTAGATTGCTCTACTAATTCTAGAGAAACGCGCAATATTTTAAATACTTTTTACAGTGGAGTAAACTGAAAAAATAAATCTTAACAATTATAGCTTCTTTTTTCGCCATATTAGGAAATATTTTCAATCGTTTCAATAAATTTAATTATAACCTTTAATGTTTAGTTAGAGCTTACCCTTTTAATGAAAGTGTTTTTTATCCAGCACACATATACGTAAACACATACACACCAAATATCTATTAAACTGAACATCACAAACCTATCACATGCCTATCACTTTTAAAATATTATTTAAAATTTTTCACATGATAATAATCAAACACTAAACTCATAAATACAATAAAAAATGTTAAAAAAACTTGCTTTAATAACTACTCATATCCGGAGGCTGATGGTAGACAGTCCGGGGTTTTCTTCGACATTTCTTCAAAACCGACGCAACCCCGACAACGATTTCGAAAACACTGAAGGAATTACAAATTACAAATTTTTATTTAGAAATTTTTTACCTTAGCGTCCTCTACTGGACTGATGTATTACTATTATGGGTCAACGTTTTGGTGGTTGTATAAAGATAGATAAATCAATTTTCTAAATGTTTAATGTATGGAGTAGGGATATCCCAAAAATAAAATAAAAGTACAAGAAAGGGTATACCCAAGAAAGAATTAAGGTAAAATCAAAGAGTATTCTACGTTATCTAAAATATAAAAATATGGGAAGCCCCGACAAAAATCTGACACCTGATATCAAAGTGATAAACAAACATCGGCGCATGCGGCAGCGAGCACTTACACTTAATTTTTCAGTTCATTGCTAGATGGCCTTTTACTAGGGATGCACTGCAAACAAATATTCCAGCAAAACTAAAGTGTTTTTTCTTATTCTAAATTCTAACAAATAAATAAACCTGTAAAACTGTATAAATAAAATCGGTCTTCGATTTAAAAAAAAAGATCGATTATACCAAAAAATCGTTTGATAAAAATCACGTCGATTTGATAATAATCGATTCGAATCGTACATCCCTAGTATGGTGTGTAGTTTAAGGTTATGTTTAAGGTTAATCGTGGGTTATTAAACTCGCACAAAAACAAAACAGAAAACAACAAAAAACAATGCAAACAATGCCAAATAAACCTGTAAAAAAGTACTTTTATTATTCAAAATGAAATATCATATAATTCAGTTGGTATACGAATATTTTTTGATTTATTTATAATGTTTGGTGTCAAAAATATGTGAGAAATGAGGTAAACAGTTTAAATGTCTTAATAAATTCGTTTTTGATCACAGAACAGATTAAAACAGAACGAAATCTTCCGTACAAAAAATTAGGACAACATTTTGGTACGCCATCTATGACACGGATTTAGAACTACAAATTAAATTAAAAAAAAGAAATCTGCAATTAAATTTTAAAAAGAAATCTGCATTGCATTCAAAGCAATTTTGGCAGCGCCATCTATAGTATTATATTACACCTAATTAATTTAATATACCGTATGTTCGAAAAATAACGATTCCAAGTTAACTTAAAAATGACGATTGATAACATTTTCTTTGTAAAGTTATATGGTTAATGTCATCAATAGTCATTTCTAAGTTAACTTGAAGCCGTATTCTTCGATCATACAATATTTAAACTAGGATGATTTTATACCAGATAATTTGTTTCAAGTAAAGTTAAATAAACATCTTATACAATATATTTTTTAAAAAATATGTTGTAAAAGATGTTTGATTTAATATACTTGCCAAACAAATATCTAGCCTATAATCGTTAAACAATACACATGCGGTAAAAATCACATTACAATATTTTCTATACCAAAATCAAAAAGTACTATCAGATTTACTTAATAATAGGTGTATGATTAATAACACATGTGAATTGATTATATACCAGATATGACAAGGAAGTTTATAATAAAAATCATTTATTTTTGTTATAAATTTTATTTATTTTTTTTTTTTGTAGATTTCGAAATTTTACAATACAAATGCGGCTCATTAAATTTATAGGCAACTAAAAATTAAACATTACAATTATTGCTCGGATAAAATATATACAACTATTTTGTATTTTTTGTTTTCTAAATTTCTATACCTAGGTACATGGTAATACTAAAAGTAATACTGTATGATCGAAAAAACGGAGTCAAGTTGGCTTGGAAATGACGCGGTCGATGACATTCCTCATCAAATTTTACATATAGAGAGAGAATGACAGCGATATTCATTTCATAGCCAACGGTGACGCCGTTTTTTTTCGATCATATTGTACCATACGATTACGAAAAGCTGCATCAAGCTACCTTAGGAATGACAATTGATGGCATTCAAAATGTAAATTATATTAGTAAATCTAACCAATTAATGAATATCAATCTTCCATCGATAGCCATTTCCAAGGTACAATTAACCTAACCTAACCTAGCTGTTATCGAGCAGGTTATATTATTATAAACTAATTTCTAGGTACTTACATATAAAGAATAATCCACTCTAAATGGATACACAAAATAAAAAGTTCTTAATTTAAAATAATACACTATAAAAGGCCGGGCACACAACATAAAACGTCTTTACTTTGAGAATGAACACTACGACACTCACAACCACAAAACACATACCTCTCAGCTCCAGGCACTGATGGCTGCCGGGAAAAATGACGAAATATTACGATGAGACGGGTGGCGGGAAGAAACTTTTCCTTCCCTCTTACTCCGCCCATGTATTTTTAAATCGACAGTGGCGCCATCTGACAGCAGGATTTGGCAATTCTTGTTCCAAATCCTGCCATTTAAGTTTTTGCACCGTGTTTTTGATTTATTAACCTTTCAGGTATCTACCTAATGGTAGGAAGAAATTAATTATGTAATGGTAGGAAAAATAATTTCACTTTAATTATGTATTAGAAAATCAGTAATCTTAAATTAGGATGCATCAATGGAGAAGAAGGCAATTGTAATCACAATACAATAATAGATCTACAAATACCAAGCAATACATTAAATCAAAAATCTCAGTAACACTGTTGTAATAATGTACTCCCTGTGGTCTTATTAAGTATAAAGTTTTGTTTTACATGAAAATAATTATCCCATTTAATTATTCATTAAATTTTAGTGTCAGCTTATTGATAGCTCGATTACCAGTCAAATAGTTTCGATGTTTTCTATACTATGAAGAAAATTTGATCTGATTAGATTAATTCAGATGTAAATTTATGTTATACGGTAAGATATTTTTAAACAAACCAAGAAAGTTCTCTTCAGACAAGTTCTGGTCTGAAATTGCAAATATTAATGAAAAAGTTATACATGTAGTTTTCTATTCATAAATGATATTATTGATTTTATTCTAGGTGAATGTATCGAGTCATATTATATTCTGCAGAATATATTGAGAAAAATGGTAAACTAACTAAAAGTGCTAACAAAATTTCTTAGGAAGTTATCGATATACCTAATTATTAGAAGCTGTAACAAATGTTCAAAGAGTCAGAGTATACTTTATTAGAAGTGTGTTAGATAGAATTATACACTTTAAAGAAAATATCTTTTATTATTGCAGGTAATGCATATTGTGTAATGCATAAATATGTGAAATCTATTATTACATACAAAGATTGAAAATTATTTAAACAGCTACCTGTATGTTGTCTCACAATCTCATTTAGTGAATGGGTTATTAAAAATTGAACATATTTACACACAGAATATTGTGGATATGGATATCTGGAAAGCATGTTATAACCATTTTTATTTTTAGGATTTATGAAATGATTACATAAATATACTAACAACAAATTGCAATGCATCTGTATATTAGAGACAAAGATGAAAGAGAGTAACAAGAATATATGTATTCAAAAGAAAAATATCAAGACCATTTGTAGTAATTAAAATTAAAGAATAAAATACATAAAAATTACCATATGATCGAAAAAAACGGCGTCCAGTTGGCTGGGAAATGACGATCAATGACATTTCCTATATAAATTTACATATAAAATGACAGTGACATTCATTTCATAGCCATCGTTGACGCCGTTTTTTCTCGATCATACGGTAGTTTATGTGTGAACAAATTCTCATTTCATATAAAAATTGAGCTCTATCTAGAGTATATTTGAATATAAATGTTTTTATGTATTGAAAGGGGACTCTAGTTTTCAAATATAATAAAGAAAATAGACTAAAAAACATGTGTGTAAGTTCTTTTTTAACTATTCTGTAGTTACGTAAATGTGTTTCAAATAGGTTGCTTTTCACAATAAAGTCAATACACAGTAATTATGCTTTACTTTTTCAAAACACACTCTTGTTTTTTATTATCAGAGAGTTATTAATATTAGAAAATTTAGTTACATGAATATAATAGGAGTAAATATTATGTTTCAAGTTTCAAATAATTAGAATATGATATGAGTCATAATAGCTTAAATATGATTGCTAATAAAATACCTAGTTTATACACATTTAGATATATCTCTTTAAATATAAATTAGTATTGCCACCATGTGATTAATGGAAATACAATATGGTCGTGAAAAACGGCGTCAGCGATGGCTATGATATAAAGGTCGCTGTCAATTTATGTGTAAAATTTTATGGAGAATGTCACCGACCGTTATTTTCAAGCCATTCTGGACGCCGTTTTTTTCGACCATACGGTATTTCTAGGTATGGAATTATGTCTCTAATATGTAGTTAGGTAATTTTTTCCATTTGCCTATTGTTAATTATAACGTCGTCAAACTATAAAATTTGCTATATTTTTTACTTAAATTTTTTTAATAATATCGGAACATGTTTTGAATAGTTTAGTAATAAAGCTACTAACATGTTCAGTTATTTTTTTTTCTATAAAGCTTTTTTGATAAAAAAATAAGTATACCTGCTAAGACGTTAAATTGCCTGAGAAATTACGATCGATGCCATTTACCATCCACTTTTACACAATAAAATGCCATCGATCGTAATTTCAAAAGCAGAAAACTTGCCGCCGTTTTTTCCAATGAAATGGGCGGTGGGGAGAAAATTACAGATTCCTGTATTATATTAACGACATTATTAATCGCATGTACACAAAGCATATACACTATTAGAAATCGATCTAATGTCTAATATTATCGAGCTTTTAAAATTCGAGAAAGTGATCGGAGATTGTGTTTAAAGTGTTGTGAAATGTTCGTTAGTGCATATTTTTGTGTCGGTAATCGGTATCGGTATAGGCAAATCGCGATGGAGTATACAAACTGAAGAAGGTGGATATGCTAAGAGCATAGGTACTTTCTGGCAGGGGAAAGCGCTGTAGAAGCTCGGAGACTTATTCCGAAGAGTATCCGAATAGATAAATCCCTAATGCTCGAACCTTTGTAAGTATGGTTCAGCATTTGAGGGATTCGGGAAAAGCAACGAAGAATTGCTGCAAAACGTTAAAAATTCCATGCTCAGAAGAAGGAGAGCATGTATTGGAAATGGAGGTCGTCATGTTGAACAATTATTGTAATAGCATGCAGTCAAGAAGCGAAGGGTATACCGGGTGGTGCATCATCGTTGGAAATATAGGATATCCCATGCAAATTTTGAACTGTCGAGATATTGGATCCCCTTGTGCAAATTTGTAATGTATCTTTAAAACCATTTACGATTTAGCTCTAAAATTAATAGGGGAGCCAATATTTCCACAGTTGAAAATTTGCATAGTGTTGTTAAGAATTGTAGTGAAGTGATGTTATTAAGTGTAGTGTTATGTGCAGTTCTAAGAGTGGTAAAATGGAAAAAAGAAAGCTCTGCAGTTGTATCTCTCTGCTATAGGGATATCTTTTTTTATTGTTTGGTAAGTTTTTTTTCTTTTAGTTTATTTTGTGTAATGTGGAAAGTAGGGCTACTGGCGATCACCCACTTAAAAAAAGTACCTCTGCAGAACCTCTGCAGCACCTCTGCAGAACCTCTTGGATGGTGTGGGATTTTGCAAGTACTTTTTAAGTCTTTCTAGTCGATGTGGCAACAGCGGGCGGCGAACAAGCTGAGATCCGCGAGATCTCTCCCCCGCGCCGGGGGATCCGCGAGATTCCCCGGCGGCTCTCAAAATGTCGCAATTTTTTTTTTAAACTTTCAAAGTTAAATAACTCGGTTATTTTCAATCTATTTTAAAAATGGTAAAGAGAAAATATGTTTCTTTTGGCCAGATCTACCACCCCTTAAAATATCTGCACTCATTTCTGGGACACCCTGTATATAATATATTAATTTTATTTTTATTCTAATTTTATTAATAATTGTAATTAATAAAATTGCGTTTATCTCATCAAGGAGGCCCAATTCGACAAAATATCAAGAGATAACTATTAATTGGCATTAGACGGCCTACACAATATTGATATCATAAGAAAAAAAGTTAGTAGTCAGTTTTTTTTGAAAAAAAAAAATATTCCAGTGATAACCTCTATGCACGTCCCTGATGAATTTATCGACACTTTTTTAGCATTAAAATATGTATCACTTATAGTAATTTTTAACCTCAAAATTTCATTCGAATCACTAAAAGTACTTGGGAGAAAATTATAAAAAATCAAAAAATTATTAAGACTCACCCTGTAACTATGAAACAAAGCAGAATCAGACTTTTGTTGATATGAAAAATAAATCTTATTTTTACGTGACGAATATCCCCACGAAATATGGCACATATTTTTTGAAATACCCTGTATAGAAGCTGTGAAAGAAAAATTCTTCAGGATGCTGTTTTACTTCTTCAAATGTCAATGTTAAAACGTTGGTTTTGGTTGAATATTTTCTGCTTTTTAAATACATACATAATATGCAAACTGCAATGAATTGTGAGAGAACGCTATCTTTTCCACTTTGAACTTGGTGCACCTAAAGGGTTGGCATTTAGGGGTCAATATAATGGGTTCTAAAATCCAAACTTCTCCAGTTTCTTTTCCGCAAGTCAAATGCAAAGCTAGTGAACACAAAAAAAATTAAGCGACCTAATATAGGCTAGGTGCATTTTCCGCCTGTGCTGCCACCATCAGAGAATATCGTAGACAATTAGTGTATACAAATACACGGGTTTAAATAGCGAGTATACGAAAAAAAAATATTATTTAATTATTCTAAAAGTGTTACGAAATATAATTTGTGTAAATTCTAAAAATAAAAATAAAAAAGTAAATATTTTGATATCTTCAGAAGGTCTAACTTATATTATAATTTATTATTCCAGTTAAAAAAAAATTTTAGATGAGTTCAACTGCGGTAGCGAGCATAGTTTTAATCACCGGTTTTGCTAGTGGGGCATAATTGGGGCTATTTCGGCTATAACAATTTTTTTAGAGGTACATAATTATAATTTTAGAAGATGTTCATAACACATTTAATCTAGTTGATGAAAAAAAGTATACCATTAATATTGCAAATTATATTTTATCCTCTCATAGTATATGTCTATTTAATTTTTTGATTATGTAACGAGCACTTTGTTTACTCACTTGTTTCGGCGAACTGCTTGAATCCTTTTTTGCTTATGATCCAATCGGTGTGAGAAACTATAAAGCTATAAAATATTGTTTCGGGAGAGTTGAATATCCGGGAAAGTTGAGTTATTGAATGTTATTGCACCCTACAATGCCTTAATTATGCTCTCCTTTAAGCCCCATACTCACACTTCGTTCCTTCCTCGCGTCCCTTCCTCGCGTTACTTCGTCACTTCGCTTCCTTCCTTCGTCCATTCGATGCTTGGAAATTAGTCGATTATGCAACAACACACCACAAAATATTTTTAATATAACAGCTACATGTTTATTACGAAATATCTAGTAACCTCTAAAATTTTTAAAAAATCCGAAAGGCGCATAATTTTTATTTTATAAAACTGCAATTCCTTGTCGTGTCAAAAATAAAAATTTAATTTTAATAATGTATATGTTTTTTTCATAAATTCGAATATTTCAGTATCATGTACAAGGTATATCAGTATGAATGTACTAGGCGAGTCAACAATAGAGTAAAGTTTATTATGTAATTTATATCGAAACTATGAAATATGACATACTAATTAAACGTTGATGTCAATCCCCATTTCTTCAGATATTTTTGTAAAGGTATCATGCACACTATTTCTATTTTTTTTATTTTTGTCGCTACGATTACATAAATATGGACATTAATTTTTTCACAAATATGAAGACAATATTGTTTTTTTCTTCCATTTTTTAGACTACTGTGTGTGAATTATTTTTATACCGACTGGCGATTACTAGATGTACAGGATGTCCCATTTTTGTATGTTTTATGGGGTTTCTGGTTTATGAGTAGAGATATAAAGATGCTGTTTTCACATCATTGTTCTACTTATTATGAAACTAAATATGCTACACACAGATTTATCCTAGCCTTCTTAGTTCAAAGTTATTCCTTATTTCTTTCTTTTACTTTTTATTTTTTTAATTAGTAGAAATTTTTGCATTTTTCGATAACCTTTGTATCTCGATTATCTAATAACTTATCTAGAAAAGGTGAAAATGATCAGCGATGGGCAGTGGGTAAGTACCCAATTTGTAGATAAATAAAATCTGGGTATATATGTATATACCTACCTGTAGATTTAGATGAACATCCTAATTTTAATAAAAGAAGTTTCCGACGACCGCATAGTAAATAGTACCGGTAGGTATAATACCGGGAATAGAAATATACCAATATATATAAGGAATATTGTAGATATACTCGTATTTTTGATATTACTGGTTTTATACCGGGTATTTACTATGCGGTCGTTGAAAATACCTTTTATAAAATTAGACTGTTCATCCAAATGTACAGGTATATACCGGATACCCTGATTTTGTTTTATTCTAACCATTGAGTACTTACCCACCGCCCGTGTCTCATTTTTCAGGTAGAATGCAGTGACGAAACTAGTTCTTCGTTGGGTTGCGATAGCTGTCTATTTCGAAAAATGACTCAAACTTATGTTCTTTTTTTTAAACAGGACACTCTATATATTATTTTTTATTTTATTTGCCTTGTTATGAGCTTTCTAAAATTATAATATACACTATATTTATTTATTTAGGTACTGCTAAACTGCTAAACGGCTCTTATTTTATTTAACTTTGCTTTGCATCGTGATATTTTGATAAACTACACGGAAACTGAACTTGTGCTGCTTTTAAATAACATGCCAATAACCAACATTTTACGTCGAATAAATTAGTTGATTGTTTTGATTACGTAATTTAAACCGGCCGACTATGTAATAAAGTTAAATAATGCATTTTTACCCCGTTTATGAAAATAAGTATTTTAGAAAGCTCGTAACAAGGAAAATAAAATAATATACAAAATATCGTATTTAAAAAAACATATAAGTTTTAGTCAATTTAAAAAAAGACAGATTCCAACGAAGAAATAGTTACGTCACTGCATGAAAAACGTGAAAAACTGTACGAGAGACCGTTTTCACCTTTTCGATAAGTTATGATACAAAAGAGATCAAAAAATGCAATAATTTCACATTCGCCCTGTATTTTAGGAAGTAAGAGAGCTAGGACATATCTGTATGTAGCATCTTTAGTTTCATAAAAAAGTAACAGCGTAATGTGAAAACCGCATCTTTGTATCTCGACTCATAAACGAGAAACCCTGAAAAACACACGAAAATGGGACACCCTGTACAGACGTACTGCCAAATCAAGAAATCAACTACGAATGAAATCCAAGATCGATGTATATATTTTATATATTTTAATATTTTTTTATTTTAATATTTTATTATTTTTATATTTTTAATTTTTTTTTTTGTGTTCGTGATAATTCCTTTGCTACTTCCTCCAAAAACCGACAGTACGTGGAAGGAGCGTTTCGAGGAAGTAAACGGACGAAGTAGCGTTTTGACGAAGGAGGAAGGAAGACACAGTCGCATAAAATCGACATTTTCCCATAGTAAATATATGATTTTTGGATGAAGGGACGCGAGGAAGGAGCGAAGTGTGAGTATGGGGCTTTAAGCCGTTTAGCAGTTTAGCAGTACCTAAATAAATAAATATAGAGTATATTATTATTTTCGAAAGCTCATAACAAGGCAAATAAAATAAAAAATAATATATAGAGTGTCCTGTTTAAAAAAAAAGAACATAAGTTTGAGTCGTTTTTCGAAATAGACAGCTCCCAACGAAGAACCAATTTTTATTTTTGACACGACAAAGAGTTTTATAAAATAAAAATTATGCGCCTTTCGGATTTTTTAAAAATTTTAGAGGTTACTAGATATTTCGTATTAAACATGTAGCTGCTATATTTAAAATATTTTGTGGTGTGTTGTTGCATAATTGACTAATTTCCAAGCATCGAATAGGCGAAGGAAGGAAACGAAGGGACGAAGGAACGCGAGGAAGTAACGCGAGGAAGTAAGGAGAGGAAGGAGCGAAGTGTGAGTATGGGGCTTTACGCGTTAACATTTTCTCGGTGGTTTTATTAACATTTGAAATTGTCACAACACAACACAACACGACGCGACGCCTAGTTCGATTTTTTTTTTCACTTATTTTTACTACCCGAAACAGCGTTAAATGACACAAACCTCGTACCTGAATGTTTTATAGTCTCAATAACTGCACTAGCAAAAAACTAAAATAGGTACTTAAATATTTTGATAGATAAAGCCGCACGCGATTTCAATATTATTTTAACGCGATCAAAGTGACGGCGGCGTGAAATACATAATGATAATTTCTGATTTCTGCCGTTGGAGCGCTGCGGTCGGAATTTGTTGAAATCAACTGAAATGCACCAAGCCTATACCAATTTATACGTACATTTGTAAGAGTATTTGACATATGACACAACATCTGATGCAGTAGTATCTTCACACTTTGGTAGTAAAACTGTTGCTATTTGTTCCTTAGTATCGTAATTGATCAAAGTAATTCTGCCATTTTCGTATCCAATCACTATGTAAGGCCTTAAATATAGGCATAACAATTATGTAATAAGAAAGATGTAAATTTTTGTATTTCTTTTACATTTCATCGTGTGCGTCGATTGACGTTATATTTGAATCTGCTATATGAAACAATGGAATGCCTATGTTGTTCAAGAAGTCAATTGCGTAAATGTTACAGTCGGCAGTAGCTAAAATGTATGTGTATTAGTGAAAAACAATACACTTTCCGACAATACATTCCAGGCATAGTTAATGTCAGTCAGATAGGAGAGCCTTAAAACTTTTTAAATGATTTTGGTAAAATTTTGATTGCAGTATAAACACGTATCTGATTTTTACTTCCCAATATATAAGCGATACCAATTAAAATTTTAGTTACGTAATCAAGGGTGCGATTTTTAAGTTCATTGTTGCCAACCATGGACATATTCGGCGCCTACTAACTGGAATTTAAATTTCCCGTTGAGGATTCAGGTGGTAGCTCTGCTGTAAAAATGTCAAGTTCCACGTTTATTTATTTATTTCCTGCGCTGTCCTTCGTTTTGACACTTTAGTTTTGTATTACGAATTTTTGGTTTAAATCAATTGTATTGTGAACTTTAAGCTTATATAGCAAATCTTGCAGTCGAACATTGTTCTTTTTAGAACCTCTTTTAGTGCAGAATGGTACAAAATAGCTTAATAGACAATGCAAAAAAATCATCGCAACCTTATTAGAATATTTTGAATTGAAATTGGAATGCAGTAGTAAAGACATTTTCTTTTGCAGGGATGTAAGGCATTCGCAATACCGGGTGCGTCTCAAAAGTGGCTCACCCCTATAACTTTTTTATTTTTTTCAGTTAAAAAAAAACAAGATTTGGTATGTTAGTATATGACATAAATTAGGATTGATTGACGTATTCAATTGTTTTCGGTCACCACCTGTTTCACCGGAAATGACTACAACTTTTGATTTTTAAATGGCACCCTCGGTATTTTTTTACTTTATTCGAAAGAAAATAACGCTCTGAATAGAATGACATATCATATGTCAACTTTTGACATTTTCGCATATGGTGTATTTGAAATTATAACTTGCGGTTCGTAACGAAAATTTGACTCGAAATACCAAGTGTGTGGTATCAAATTATTCGTAAAAAAATGTAATATACCAAAAATAATTTACCAAATATGCTAATGAGCCACCCTCATTCCATTTGAAAAAATTGAGATATGGCTAAAAATACGATTTGAGCATTTTCTGACTGGCCAGGACAAGACACTTAAAACATTAGACGATCAAATCTATTTTTCCAAGGATCCTTGATTAAAAATTAGTGTTTTTAAAATAGCCATGGCACTCTAGATTGAATTTTAAAATACAATTTTTTATTAAGCGAGAATGTCAAAAGTTGACATATGATATGTCATTCTATTCAGGATGTCATTTTCTATGAAATAAAGTAAAAAAATACCGAGGGTGCCAGTCATTTCCGGTAAAACAGGAAGTGACCAGAAACAATTGAATACGTTAATCAATCCTAATTTATGTCATATACTAACACACGAAATCTCGTTTTTTTATCTGAAGAAATAAAAAAGTTATAGGGGTGAGCCACTTTTGAGACGCATCCGGTATAACTCTTAAATAATGTTCCTCTGAGAGACCGTTGGCCGTTTTTATTGGTGATTTTCCTCCATGGTAAAGATTTTTATAGCTTTTATCAGAGCTGCGTTAATTCTGCAATAACTTTATTAAAATAAATGTTATGTGAACGTGGGCTTCCTCGTCCATTGCAGATTTCTTCTCGATTATCTGTTTCAATACAAATATATTATCTGTACATATCTGAAACCATTCTGCTCTTCTTCTTCGTAGCTGGAGTATTCCTCGTCAATTAGGTTCCCTAGTATCCTTCCATAATCATTCTTCCTGATCATTTGAAAGGGACAAAAATGTTTAATACACTGCATCAATATTCCATCAAATTTGTCAACTGCTAAATCTGTTGGAAGAAGAAGACATAAGAACATCCCAATCTATTGAAGATCTGCATTAATATCATAGTAAAAATCATCGCATGACAAAGCACCATATTGACATGTTCGGAATGCAAAATAATATGTACGCTGTCTGGTAACCAAGTATCACAGGCAGTTACACTAGACAAATTTAAAACATTAGAGAATAAATCCAAAAATACATTTCTTTTATTAGACTCTGTAATAATTTAATTCAACAAAAAGAAACTGAGAAGCATAAAAAAGAAGCTGATCGTATTTTTCTAACAATACTGGCCAGTGTTTATACGATATGTTTTTGAAAGTACTTGCGACTACGATATTGATTGCAAAAAAATGTATCGCTATTTGTAGCGATGGCGCTAAAGCTATGACTGGCAAAAAGAGCGGACTTGCAAAGTTAAAATAGATAATGCCGAACATATCCTGGACACACTGTTTTCTTCATCGACAGACTCTAGCTGCTAAGGTAGTACCTTCTGATTTAAATGACGTGCTCAAGGAGGTAATAAAAATTATGAATTCTATCAGAGGCAAAGCTTTGCAAACCCGGCTATTCAGAATCATTTGTGAAGATACGGGCTCGCTTCATGAAAATCTCGTTTATCACACAGAAGTCAGGTGTCAGGTGGCTATCCAAAGGATAGGTATTGACAAAAGTTCTGGAACTGAGAGCTGAGTTGTTAATATTATTACAAGATACAAAATCTAAATATGTTTCTCGTTTTTCTGACCCTATTTGGCTCTTGAAATTAGCAGTTTTGGCAGATATTTTTAGCCACCTTAACAATTTGAACAAGAACCTTCAACGAAGAGAAGAAAATATTTTAACAGCGAAAGATAAAGTAAAAGCATTTCACGCAAAATATCGTTTGTGGTCAACCTCTCTACAAAACAAAATATTCGAAACTTTTCCATGTGTTCAGAAGATTATTGAAGTATCAGCTCACATTCCTTGCATAATACAGAGCTTGCATAATTTGTAAGATAAACTTTTGGCATACTTTCCAGACTTGAAGCTGACAATGGGCATGTAGATGGATTTTAAACCATTTTTTGGACAAATCTGGTATAGATCTGGCTGATGTCATGGACAATAGATCTGGCTGATGTCACCACAAAAATGAAAGAACGTCTTCTGGATTTAGCCGCCGATGGCATGCTTAAGATGGAATTTTATTCATAAAGTGTCGACGTATTTCGGATAAAAAGAAAACACGAATATTCAGAGATGGCAAGGGAAGCTCTTAAATTATTAGTGCCATTCGCCACTTCATACCTGTGAAATAACATTTTCTTCAATGATACGACATTAAAACTAAAAAGAGACAAAGACTGCAATTAGAAAACGATTTGATTATTAACGTTTCAAAAATAGCACCACAATTTGATAAACTTTTGAAAAATAAACAAGCACATCCATCTCACTAAAATTGTATTTTTGCGACCCCCAGCAGAGCTTGATTTTCATGCATCCGTTGTCCGACGATACGTTGATACGATATTAATTTTATTGGTAGAATTTAAAAACTTTGATTGGTTAGAAAAAACGCAGTTTTTAAATTTATTGCATTTTCATGCCTCCGTTTATCGGATATACGTTGGTGTTATTTTATATTTTCGTTTTCATAACGATTTTGCTATTTTACTTATATTTTTATTAAGGTTAGATTAAATTTGTCAAAAAAGTGTTAAAACGTCCGTTATCGCATAGATAAATGCACAAAACATCCCCCTTTAGAACTTCGTCTATCATGTTAAGAAATGAAAGTAAATAATAAAGCGCCTCTCGTGTTTGTTCGCACTCAAAAAATTTCAATTAATACCTGTATATATTTTTAATATATTTTTTAAATTTACATTTTTTTAATTGTAAAGTAATATATTACATTTAAATGGAATATATTACATAACAATTATGTCAATTACAGGATTACAAGCTTGTTTTCTAACATTTTTTAAATAAAACGAATTATAAAATTTCAATATATGCATATTTGTCGTAGATAAGAAAAAAGTAAAATATAAAATGGACAAACGCTTACTTACATTGCAATAAAACTTCCACTTTTAGTTTTGCAATCCAAACGCAATATTTCTATTTCACAAATAAAAATATCCGACAACACTAAAATCACTGAAACTTCCGCGGTTGACAACGAAAACTGAAAAATATAACGGCACTTTTTGTTTTGGACCTGCATATCAACATGACGCCGTACTATTATGTGTTTGTTGTTGAAATAATATAAAATATCTAATTATAACTTGTAAATTTTAATATTTTAACATGACTGTAGCTACTTTTGACAATAACTAACTTTTTGTTATCAAGATGACATTTTACATGGCACTGACATGTATGTCATAATATTTGAATCTTAAATATGTATGTAATATAATTTAAATTACTATAATGCAACTTTATACTAAGAAAACATTTATACATTCACAAAATACAACAAAGTCTAATAATATAATTTGAAAACAATGAATATTGAATTAAAATTGAAAAAGTTAAGCGCGACCCCTTGTGTCAAAATTAGATGATTAAATTTTCGCAATTTTTACACCATTTGATGACGGGTGGCGCCTCTAGTGTTTGTTCGGGCGGTTGGTATTTTACTCCCGCTTATGGCCATTAAAGAAAAAGTTCTAAAGGGGGATGTTTTGTGGATAAATGCAACAAGTTTAGATTGGAAAGCCCGTAAAAATGTTAGGTCGCGAAATTGATTTGGGTCGCGACCGTTATACGCGATCCTGGCGCTGCTATAGCGGTCGCTAAGAACAACGGCAAACAAAAACAGAAATAATTTTCTCTTGTCAAAGTCAGAATCTTTAAAAATCATAATAATCTTTCAAAATCTAAACCGCTCTCATTAAAGAAATTCCGAAAAGTGTTTATAGCGTCCATTTTCAAAGTAATTATTGCTATCTTGTGAGTTTAATTCAAGTTTTATTAACTCCAACCGGTGATAATTGTGAAAAACTGGCATTAAAAACTTAAAAAGCTGTGCTGTGAACTGTGAACTGCAAAAACCATCGCGGATCGTGGCATAACGTCGGTTTCCAATGTTTCATAGGTATTTCATACATGCGTCCTTATATAAAATAAAGTTTCTTGTATGCAACACATTGTATTTTATTTATAAAATTAAACGAAAATAATAATGAATTTGAATAAACAATATTTGGAGATATAATTCCGAAAAAAGCCGAACCGCTCCGAAATTTTCAAAAGTTTTGGGGTCGCGACCGTTGCAAGAATAGCGCCGAATAATGTTTACATTGTCCTTATGGGCACTTTCCAATCTAAACTTCGTTATCGTATGAACGGGTTCGTTGACGGGCTGAAGTAAAATATTTACGGATGAAAAGTGGCGTGAAAACGCTATGACCAATCAGAGCACCGTCGGACCAACGCAACGTACCAACGTATAAAGGTCGATTTATAGATTGAAAATGTTGCGGTTCGACGCCCGACGTTACGGTCGGTAAAAAGTTCGTTTATACGCAGGATGTTTTGTTGATTATAAATTTTTCGGTTGTTGTTGCGGTTGGCGTTTTACGTCAAAAGTTAACCAACTTTTAACTTCGACAGGAACGTTGACCTTGAAACGTTAGTAATAGCCAATAGAAATAATCGCAACCGCAACGTCGAACCGCACCGTTTTCAATCTATAAATCGACCTTAAAGCTTGATTTTCATGCATCCGTTGTCCGTTGTCCGACGATACGATATTAATTTTATTGGTTGAATATAAAGGCTTCGATTGGTGAAAATCAAGCTTAGGCTTCGCGATCCCTATGGGGACATCCATAGATTGAAAAACACTGAGCTAGATGGATGTTTCCCCTCAACCTCCAGCAGAGTTTGACTGTTGAGTATATAAAATTCAGTATAATATTTCAAGACATACGGTTACATACTGCCAGCCATTTTATAAAAATCGGTAATCAATTTAAAAAGTAATTTGGCTTAGAACCTGTTGAAATTAATTTTGCCCGTAATTCATTGCCAGGCAGTGTATTATAGATAGTTTAGTAAGAAATTCCACTAAAAATGACTTAATTCCAATTCAATGTAAAACCACTCTAAACGGATTTACTATTAAAAAGTCTGTTCTGATACTTACTAATAAAAAAATCATTAACAATAAACGGATCATTTCGTAAACTTGCATCAATTGGAGGATTGATTTTTGTTATATTCTCGATTTCTTCGTGAATATCTTTATAAAAGCAATCGAATATTACGTCATCATCTACTAAATTTCTTTCTGAAATATTACAATTTAATAAGTAATAGTACACAATGTAAATAAAATGCACTAACAACAAAATCATTTTTAAAAAATAAATACACAAATTTTATTAATTGATATGGAACCATGTAATTTTAATGTTTTTTTGCAAAAAATGTAATAATATCATAAGAGCCCCCACAGACGCTCACTTCTTTAAAACAGACGGACTGCGCAGGCCAGTTTGCGCAGTTTTAACTATGCAGTTTTCCGCTAAATTATTGTTTTTAAGACTTTACCTATATTTTTTCTGAAAGAACTTTTTATATTATTAGTCCTTTTAGCAACTGCTTCCTTATTTACTTCCGGTGTCCTTTTTTCTACTATATGAAGTGTTTTTACTAAAAGCTGCGGACTTTTTATTTCTGTCATAATAATCCTTATTTATTACTTTCCATAAACCTGGCATGATTTTATATAGTTCAATAAATTGAGATAAATTGACATAAAAACTGTTTACTATAGATCTGCATTTTGTTTCCAGTTGATAATAGGTTGAAAATATCTAATCTACGGACTGAAAATATTGACGAATTGAAAAATGTTTGTGTATAAGGGAATTGTGTTCAGATTTGATGTGGTAAGTTTTTGCCGACTGTGCAAGCCGTTGACCTTACCTGAGCAAAATTAGACCCTGCTTGAATATGGCCTGTGCAAACTTTGAAGCATGAATTTATACAACTGCAAGCAAACGGCTTGCGTAGTCGGCCGGAATTTTCCACATACATACCGATAATCTTGCACAAACCAGGTTTGCATAGGCGGCCTGGGCGATAAAATTGAACGTCCGTGGGGGCCTTAAGTATTGACTAAATTTGTTTTAATTTAAGTTGACATATTAAATTAACTAAAAAATACCGAAAGTACAATTTAAAATCAATAGTTGTAATAATTTCCGGTGAAGCAGGAAGTGACCGAAACTGAATACGTCAATCAATCCCGATTTATATGTCATATACTAACATACCAAATCGCGTTTTTTATGTTAAAAATTAACTAATAGAGGGGAGCCACTTATGAAAGACAACCGGTATAGACTATATATCACTTACTTTTTATTATTACTTTTTCTCCGTCGAACCTAATCGTTGGTGGTTTTACCGGAAAACTAATGTCAGTAATAGGACCGAAAGGAATGTTCTTAATCCAATACAAAACCGTAAGTCTTTTATCGAAGAAGTAAAGGTGTCCTTTTGAATCTCCTATAACTAGCTTCCTAAAAAATAAATACTAATTAATTTATGACAACAATGTGATACCCTCTACTAACTAGAGGTGGGCAAAGATCGAACGAGTCGTTCATTTGAACGAGAATTAAAAATGAATCGTGAGATTCGATTCACTGCTTAGAATACGGTTCGTTCAATTGAATCGTAGCCAGCACGTAAAAAAGAGTCAGTACGAGTCAGTACAGTAAGAGTCAGAGTTAATACAGACATTATTATTATATGAATTGGATTCATAATTTAATATTATTGGTAAAATAATCAATCCAATTACGCCAGTGTCATAAAGTGTTGAAAAACAAATGAAAGAGAACTATATATTATATTTCTTTTTCTGGTCTCTTAAATAATTGTCCGACCAAATTATCGCCGGTAGTGCCAGTTGCGATCTTGTTTTTATGAAACGTAAATTGTGCTTGGGACATGTGGTTCGTTCAAATGAAGGAATCGTAGGAATCGATTCAATATGAGAAATTAAATCGTGTAATTCGATTCACCAAAATGAATCGTAATGTCCATCACTACTACTAACCCTTCTGTTGTCGTTATAAGGCCGATTGATGCCTGCGTAACTTTTACGGCGTTTATATACATTTTCGAATTATTCAATTGGGTGGCGTCGTCGAAACTTTTCGTGTAAAGCGTTGTCCGAAAAACCAGAATGAATCCCCTGGTAGTTGTTACGTAACACTCATGACATTGTTCTATATATGTTCCACCTGTTAAATTACCCAGTTTCTTTCCACCGGTCATCTCGGGTAAATAAGTATTAGAGTATTTGTTTCTTGACGTATCCTGTAAAAATGTTCATTTTAAGGCTGAGGACACACGAGGCGGCTTTTCGTCGAAGCGGCGCGAAACACTGAGGCGGATAAGAAGTCTAACGGGATTTAAATAAAATCTTAGAACGTAGCAAATGGTCTAATATACAGAGTGGTCCGAATTGTATTCCGGAAACTTCGGTAACATATTCTGCAGATAAAATAAGTAAAAAAGTTCTTATAAATGTATGTCCTAAAATGCTTAGTTTCGGAAATACAGAGTGTAGAAGTTTCATTTTTATTTCGATTTTTTTCCAAATAATTTATGAATTAACGCATAAAATAATTAACTAGAAAGAAGTGTCAACTCTGTGTTAAATCGTGGAAACACGATACGCCACCGAAAGCCTTCGTTGTCGTCTGGAGAACTAATTTTCCAATTGACAGGTTGACATGATGGCTTCGTATTTATTTCCGTTTCCGGTTATTCAATGGCGGGCCCTCTTTCAGTTTAAATGTATTTTGTACTCTTTCTTATCATAAATAAAACAAAACAAAATTTTATTCAAACATATTTATTTGAAATATGAGACAACGTGACTAAATATATATAAAAAATAAAGAATTGAATGATTTCAACAGCAATTACTTAATTATATGCAATTTTAACGTAAATTAGTAAGGTATAAGCTTGACTTACAGTAATTTGTAAATAAATACACGTATGCACAGCCATTAGGGACAGAAAACGGGGGCAGGAACATGAAAACGGGAGCCTTATACAAAAACCTGAAAACAGAAAAACAAATTTTTTTATACTAAAATTAACAAATAAAAATATCAGTAGGTATAAAATACAAATATACTGTTTAAAAAAAGCGTCCATTATTCCCAAAGAGACCTGGTTTATAAATCAAAAAGAAGCAAAAAGAGACTTTTAGTCGGATAACAATCGGATTGTATCAGTCAGATTTATTGCATTATTGACAATAAATCGCACATACTGGAGATAACAAATGTTGGCTATAGTTAAAAATGATCTTACCTTGCTGTAAATTGTTTCCATTTTCAAAAAAATTGCCGATCATAAACATAACAAAATTTTCTTGCATCTAAAAAATACAGAAATAGTGTTTATTTACTACCTATTTTTAATATACACGGGACATACCTAGTACTGCAGAAACGTCTTTTTCTCCAGGATTTTTCATGTAATATATATTTTATATGCTTTATTACCTTTATATTTATAAATTTCTGCCGAAATATCAAATTGAATTTACAAAACAAAACTAAACGGAGAGAATTAAAATGGCGTCGAAACTTATTCTAGAACAAATCTGAAGTTGTCTCTGAAATCTGTCAATTCTAAACTGTGAAGTTAGACAATAGTTAGAGAGAAACATTGCTGTCCTTGTCTAGGCGGCCATACTTGTCGTCAGGAGATGACAGGAATGACACTAATGACTGTTTCCAATTTTCCTATTTCACTGTCACCCCCCTGAATTAACGTCAATATTTGTATGAAAACTGGTGCCTGGGAGTTTTTTGATATGAGAAATTAGATTTTGGCATCAATATGGCTCCTACTTGTAGAGGGCGCAACCAAAATATTTTTTAACTGATTTGAAGGGTAATAACTTCTCGCCCGTACCTGTATAAAACTACTGAGTAAAAAAATATACATTCACGAAGTTTTTTACGTAAAAAATATCTCTTGCTAAAAATCGCTACGAGTAATGATTTTGGAGATATTTGGAATCGATTAAACATGTTGACTAAATAGTTATTAGACTGAAACCATAAATTTGAGATATTTTTGTGCCAAAAGTTTAACAGCAACTGTTTTACTATCATTTTTTCGTAAAAAGTTTATGGTTAATTTAAAAAAATTAAAATTTCCCAAATTTATTATTTCAGTCAAGTAACTATCTACTCAAGGTGTTTATTTTTTGTCAATAATGACATGGATTGACTATTTTCATTCTAAATATCTTGAGAACGGTTACTCGTAGCGATTTTTACCAAGAGACATTTTATACGTAAAATGTTATGGAAATGTATATTTTTTCACTTCATAGTTTTATGCAGGTACGGACGAAAAGTTATTACTCTTCAAAACAGTTAAAACACATGTAGGCAGAGCCCTCTACAAGTAGGAGTCATATTGACATCAAAATCAAATTTCTCATGTCAAAAAACTCCCAGACACCAATTTTCATCCAAATGTTGGCGTTACTTGATAAATTATTTGGAAAAAATCGAAATAAAAATGAAACTTCTATACCCTGTATCTCCGAAACTAAGCATTTCTAGCTAACTTATTTCAAAACTTCGCAATTAGTAGAACAAATTAGTGGTTTCAATTAGCGTAGAAGTTTGTTCCTCTAATTTGAATGTAAGCATTCAGAACGTCAAAATTAGTGGTAGGAATTTCCATTTAGTTGAAAATGTTAACAAACTTTTGACTTTTCCACTAATTATACTTTAAAATTTGTGAGGAATGTCATTTTAGCCTTTAATTATCATCCGCCAAGAAAAAATGCTATTAAAAACCAAAAATTAATTGTTTTATAAGCTAAATATTAGGCTTTTTCTATGGATACAACTGATTACTGCAAGCTGTTGCTAGGATATTCTATTAATTTTAATTATGTTTTTAGACATTGCGAATGATCGTAAACTTAGTGGCGGACTAAGCCTATCGGGGGCCCGGGGCGGCGAAGCTAAATGTGGCCCCCGGTCTGTTCAGGTAATGATATACTTCTAATTGCTTCTAATGCACATTTTGTAAAAATTGAATGACTTATGTATAATGGTTGACAAAATTGAAGTATTTATACAGGGTGTCCCCGGCTGAGCCTGCATTAGAAGTTTCTAGAGAACTACAATATCTAGATCCGAGATTTTGTGCATATCATTGTTTCACAACGAGATCTATCGATTAAAAATATTTTCAATATGGCGGCACTTTCGGAAGTACCGGAAGTTGACAGCAACTTTCTTATTTCAAACGGGTGACCGCATTTTTTATTACTTACTTAAATTTTCTGTAAAATTTTATGGATTTTGATATTAAACACTCTAACCTAACTTAACCGTTTTTGAGGAAAAAAAATATTTATAATTAGGAAAAAACTGCCTGTCAAAAATATGTATATAGCCTAAACGTCAAATTTAGTGATTGCCACAGCCACTGTACCATAAAGAGAAGACATGTGGCTATCTATGCCAAAAATTAAAAATAGTCCGAATGTCATATAATAATGGCCGCAGATGTCATGGAATTGAGCGATTAAAAAATTATTATAAATCATTTTTTTTTTCAAATGGAAATCCACTTTTTATATTTACACCATTTAAAATAAGAAAGTTTCTGCCAAATTCCGGTATTTCCGGAAGTATCGCCATGTTGAAAATATTTTTATTCGATAGATCTTGTTGTAAAACAATAATGTGCAGAACAACTTCGATCTAGATATTGTGGTTCTCTAAAAACTTCTAATGCACGCTCAGCCTGGGACACTCTGTATACTGTAATAATTATAATAAAAATCGATATAGATATAAATATGTTATTCATCAGCAGTGCCGTCTTTACGTAGGGATCTGATGGGCCCTGGCCCCAGGCACAAATTACCTATAACAGATGCGAAAGAACACCGAATTACGCGTTCAGGTTTCTGTGACCTTCAGAAAGAGTTCATAGACAATCCGCATCAATGTATAGTTTGGGTTATTATTTGTTTGGGTGAAAATAATCTGCACCAATATGTTATCGAGGTATATAATCTCACAGTAATTTAATAGATTGCTCGTCATATTATATCAGTTCGTAGGAGATTAGGAAAAAAAAGATATTTATAATATAAAAAATTAATTTATTTAACAAAATTTAATTAAAGATGTGACAAAATAGTTACTTTTCTATTGGTTCTATCGGACTTTTTTCGACTATATAAACCTTTATTTTTTGTAAACTTTAATGCATAAAATATTTTCAATTTAATAAATAATTTAATGATGTAAATAAGAGGAAATTTCTCACATGGGTGGTCAAATTCTATAGTTTTCATTATATCAAACAGCCTCTGAATGTTTTCAAAACTCATCAAAATTTAATATAAATATTTTTTCCATTTCCAGTAAATAAAATGAACAAATTTTTCCACTTTCATGATCAAAGGCTTTTAAATGGGTAAATAATTTCGAGTTATCCAGAGATTTGGATTCTTTTGCAAATTTTAGACAAATATCACATTGATGTATTTGAAGACCCTTTTAATTGATGTAGTCAAACATAATTTTGAGTTGAAAACATTTCGCAGAGGCTGTTTGATATAATGAAAACTATAGAATTTGACCACCCATGTGAGAAATTTCCTCTTATTCACATCATTAAATGATTTATTAGATTGAAAATATTTGATGTATTAAAGTTTACAAATATAGATTTATATAGTCGAAAAAAGTCCGATAGAACCAATAGAAAGGTACTATTTTGTCACATTTTTAATTAAATTTTGTTAAATAAATTAATTTTTTATACTATAGATATCTTTTTTTTCCTTATAACACATTTGTATCCCATTTTAAATAAGATATACAAATTACCAAAACTTAGAAATAACAGTTCAAAAGTTCAACAAAAATCCTACACCCGTTTTTAAAAAGAAACATATAACCACGCACTATGTCATTCCAGCAAGCGAATACGACACAGCATAGGTTTCCGGACTAAACGACTGGTGTATTTACACCACTCAATAGGCGTGTGGGGTTTGCCGAGCGGTTTCCGATGCAGTCGCTTTCTTTCGCATCTGTTATAGGTAATTTGTGCCCCAGGAGTATTAAGGGCCCCAGCTCTACAAAGGCTGCAAAAAAACGATAACATCAATTTTTTAAAGCTTATAATATTTTCAAATTGAAAAACGAATGCAATTTGATGTAATAAAACAATGTTTGCATGTATTTAATGGCAACTTATGATGACAAAGTTATGAAAATACCGGTTCCACATATGAGCCGCGTTACTTTCGCTACCGTTCCAGGGAAATACCGCGACAAAACATCGCGATTTTGTAAGTCCTCCAAGATCCGAGGGGCCCCTTCTCTGTCTCAGGCCCGTGGCCCATGTTACACTAATGACTTCACTGCTCATCATCGATTAAAGAAGCTAGAATACAAGTTATGCTGTGCATTGGATGTAATTTAAAATGTTTATTCAATAAAAATAAATAATGAAACCATTGAAAAATAACTTAAAAGCTAAAATAAATAAATTCAGTCTCAAAATATATAAAAAATAATAATTATTCGATATTTTAAACAAAGAAAATTAACCCTTTATTTAATTTCTTAAATAGAAAATGCCAATCACAACTACTGGGGCCTGATAATTGATAATTAAGTAAATATCTGCTTCCATTTATACTGTTTATAGTTGGCGTATACGTATGGTTTGCATAGTCCACCTACAAACTGCTTCCTAACTACTGAACACATATTGGCCTTGTTTGCCAGTTGATTAAAAAAAAATACTAAGATTTGGAGGCCCCCTAAAAGACGGGGCCCGGGGCGGACTGCCCCTTCCGCCCCTACCTTAGTCCGCCACTGCGTAAACTAAAAAAATATAAAGTGTAATTGAAACCACTAATTTATTCCACTAATTGCGAGGTTCTGAATGAAGCTTTAGTTAATAAAAAAAATATTATCTAAAAAGCTGTAGCTTCTCCCTTACGTACGCGTACGGTAGCTTTTACATCCTGTACCTGGATGAAGTTTACGAAAAATAGGAAATTTTATATTTTTGAGCCATTATTTCCTGATAAAATATAAAAAATTGGGGAAGTTATTATGTACGATTTGAAGTTGAAGTTGTTTTAACCTTTAAAGGAAAAGGATTAATTCTCAATTTAGTTTGAAAATTGTTCAATAAATAGTCCAGTTTTGGGTTGTTGAGTTGTGCAATATAAAATGCGGTTAAACCTAAATAATAATAATTAATAAGAAAGAAGTAAAAATTACCCAAACGAAAAAGAACACCTGCTTTTCAAACACAACCATCACGTGTTCTTGCTGATCCTGATTAAAACATATCTTTACTGGAGCTCCGTGTGTCTTATTAATCAGGTATGCATCTGAAAATAGGATATTATATGAAATTTTATATTCTACATCTTTAGACCTACTAATAACTATGTTGTTTTGTAGATTCTCTTACAGTGGCGAAATACCCATAGAACGGTTTTGGAGAGATGAATCCGCTATACAGAGGTATAGACATCTTTTATTATTATTAATAACCAATCAGACCCTTATAAGAGACAAATAAACTACACAAAACAATTATCGCATATTTGAATAAAAAGTAATTATTATTATCTACACATTTCTAAATGAAGCCTGAATTTTTCTGCCTTTCTCTTGTGAGTTTTTTTTTAAAGATAATTACGGTACACACGGATATGTAATTTTTAGTCGACCGACTATTTAGTTGCAAAAGTGAAAACAATACGTTCTTATGGAGACGATCGGTCCAATATTTGATTGCATTACGTAGCCTCAGGCTATGCGCTGCTTTTAATCGGCTGACAATTCAGTTGTATATTTGTCACCAATATATATCCTTATGGAGCCGCGCTCACATGCAATCAACTAGTCGGCCAATTGGCTTCATAAGTATGTATTGTTTTCACTTTTGCAACTAAATAGTCGACCGACTAAAATTACAGATCAACGGGTAGGCTTATTATTGTTTCGAACTTCCCCTTCACAGTATCCAAACTATTTATAACCGTAAGTCAGGGAATTGAAAGTGTCTTGTTTTTCAAATTAATATTTTTTTTCAACAACAGCGTGTCACCAAAAGCGAGCTCGCGTGTCATTACTGGCACGCGTGGCATAGACTCGCCATAACTGGAATAGAGGGTAAATCTCAAATTCTTTACGTTCGTTCACACTAAAATTAAAAATTGTCTCTAATTCCATTATAATCTACTTTAGAGAAAAAAAGTTCAGATAAAAGTTGTAGAGTCCTCCGTTTTTTTTGACATATGATACAAACATATGTTTTTTTTAAACGGGAACTATAGCTGGCCATGACTTCATAAAAAGTGCCATTTTTTAATCTTTTCAGCGATATAAGATATAATAGAAAAGTTAAATTTAGATACTCGCGCATTAATAGAATGGTTCCAACATGACTTTCATTATGACACCCCCCTCCCATAATAAAAGAAATGTTAAAAATTATTTATATCATAATTATGCAAACTCAGGGATAGGAAGAGGTGTACCAATTGCATGGGCCTTCTCGATCACCTGACTTATCGAATGAGACACACGAAGAGGTGGTACGGGAGAAGTTTAATAAAGTCGACCGGTCTTTCTGTGAGGATCGCTAGTAATTAAGTTTTAAAAAGATGCATTTATGTCTTCAAAACAATGGCGAATTTTTTGAACATTTTGTAAAATAACTTAAAGTGTATGTAGTGATATTCTTTTTTTAAGTCTTAGTAGTGATGGGCAAAACTGTTATTTTTAGATAACAGTTGAAACTGTTATAGTTATTTATAAAAAACTGCTTAAAATAACAGCTTAAAAATAACAGGTTTCTTTATTCTACTGCTAAATATCTGAAAGAGTATGAGGCGGTCACCGCCAGGCGTATTAACGCAGTTGCAAGTTGCAACAATGACGTGCTCGGTGGTAGTATTTCCAGGGTGTCAAAACATTTCTAAATATCGATTGTTATCTAAAATACCTCTCTAAAAACGGTGGTTGTTTATAAATAAGCGCTGTTCACAAATTGCGATATAAAAAAAGCCAAAATTCCGCCACTCGTCTACACCTATAAATTCCGATCTACCTACGCCCTGCCCCTCGATCCGCATAGATCCTGAATTGCGTAGCAGTGTACAGGGTGCATCTCACTCGACGGGCGAGAAGCTCTTAGTTATGATTTTACCATTTGCGGTCAAAAAATAGCAATATAAGAAAATCTGTAGTATATTCTTCATAAGTAAACCAACTACACACTAGAGTTCGAATTAAGTTTACACTTAAACTAGCGTGTACCCGCGACTTCGTTCGCGTCGAATTAATAATTTCTAATGGTGATGATAAAGCAAAACAAGAATTTCCATTAACATACAAACTGGATAAAATTTTCTCACATTTGCCAAAAATAAGCTTTCTAACGTCAAGCAGTTTAAGCAAAATCGTGGTTAATCAATTACTCAACTTTTTGGAACACCCTGTATGATTTTTTAAAAAATTTCAAAATATGTAAAAAACAAAATAAATTATGCGTGTCCAGGCGTTTTCCCGAAAGACTAACCGTTTTTTAAATAACAAATATTGTAATATTTGAGGGGCGTTTTCACCCTGTTGGAATTTAAGATTCAAGAAACCCCTCCTTATCGAACCTCAACCCCACAGTCAATCCGTTTGCCAAAAATCAGCTTTAAACGTCAAGCAGTTTAATCAGAATAGTGATTACTCAATGATCATATTTTATGAAACACCCTGTATATATTTTTAAAAAATCTTAAAATATGTAAAACAACATAATAAAATATACGTGTTTTAAGAGTTTTTCCGAAAAACTCACCGGTTTTTAAATAAAAAATATTCTAATATTTGAGAGTAGTTTCACCCCCTTAGAATTCGAGTTTCGAAAAATCCCTTCTTATCGAACCTCTACACACTAAAGTCAATCCGTTTTCCAAAAATCAGCTTTTTACGTCAAGGGCTTTAAGCAGGATCGTGATTAATCAATGACCAGATTTTTCAAAACACCCTGTATACATTTTTAAAAAATCTTAAAATATTATTCTGAAAATTTTTCAGAATAAATAAATACCTAAATATTGAAACTTAATAAGTAAGTACTGAACCATACAGCGCCATAATATCTCGACCTCCACCCGTTATGCTCGTAACAGGTTGAAACAGAATGTATCTAAAACAACTGATGCGTTATTCTCCAACCTGTTTCGAACCTCCATCGACAATCGACCGATGCAGCAGCGTTCCATTCCCACTCCGATTATCTCGACCGCCGCCCTGTAATGCTCGTAACAGGTTGAAAAACAACGTATCTAAAATGACTGCTTCTCCAACCCGTTGCGAGCCTCCATCGACAATCGACCGATGCAGCAGCGTTCCTTTCCCACTCCTGTTATCTCAACCGCCAGGCGTTATGCCCGCAACTGTTTCAAAAAACTTGCTTCTTTTATATCCTATTATTTTTAAGCTGTTGCAAACCCAATACGACAATAGTAGCGCTTTCCCCACTCCGTTGTTCGTTATCTCGCCCCCTGTATCGATGGTTGACGAAATAACATGTTTTCCATCCATACTAGTTGTTTTTTGGAATTGCTTCGGGCAGCATAGAATTTCGTGGAGGTGCAGAGCGCCGACTTCGTTTTTCGTTTCACGAGCGGCCGATCTCTACGTGTCGTTATTTTATATCGTTATTTTATATCTGTTATTTTTTAGAAGTAGTAACGGTTGCGTTATGTTATTTACAAATAATTGTTATAAAATAACAGATAGTTAAATAACAACCCATCACTAAGTTTTAGTGTGTGTAATGTACCGTCTGATCGAATAAAAACGGCGTCAGCGATGGCTATGAAATGAAGAACGCTGTCATTTTATATGTAAAATTATATTGGAAATGTCATCGATCGCCATTTCCAAGCCAACTGGACGCCATTTTTTTCGATCATACGGTACCTAAAATGCAAAGAAACCCCGTTTAATAATATATTTTCTCTTTTTATAAGTTAAAAATCATAACAGAATAAGAATGCCATGCCAACTAAGTGAAATTAGTCAAGGAAGATAAGAATTGGCTATAACTCATTAATTTAAAAAAAAACATATTATAGGTTATATCACTGAAAAGCTTAAAAATCGCGCTTTTTATGAAGTTATGGCCACAGAACAGATACAATCTGTAGTAGTTATCAGTATCTGTTCTGTGTTATGGCCAACTATGGTTTCCATTAAAAAAACATATGTTTGTGTCTTTATGTCAAAAATGACAGGCTTTAGAAAAAATTGGAGAACACAAACTCTTTAGGGATGTGATTATCTACAACTTTTATTTGAAATTTTTGTCTAAAATAGATTATAATGAAATTAGGGACAATTTTTAAAATACCCAAAATTTGTTTTTTTTCGAAATATCTAGAAGCCATGAACTTTTTACAAAAATCTGAAAGGCGCATATTTATGACCCCACAAAACTGCAATTCTTTCCCCATTGAACCGACTCTCTATCTTCAGTAGTTTCCGGGATACCCATAGATAACGTCGTATAAACTCACCCTGTATATTGCTGTGTATTTAAATGTTTTTTTGTCCGCATTCCTTTCATAGACACAGTTCCAGTAGACGTACTTTACCTAAAATTTTGGACATGACCATGCATTGTGTTAAAGTCATATGCCATGACGTCAATAACAAAAAAAGGACTGCTCGGATTGCCTTAGAATATTTATTGGCGTGAAGATACATGATAGCGAATATGTTTACAAGTTTTTATCAAAACACGAGAAGTTATCCTGTGTGTGGAATTTTCAATGTCACTTTGAATACATCTTATGGCGCGCTCTCACGACTCGTGTACTTGACAAACATTTGTAATTGGTATACAGGGTATACATGGTGCGTCGGGCATCTATGCAGAATGAGAAAGATGCATATATTTTATTTTTCGCCAGAAACTGTTCAATTTATTAGAATATAATATAATAATAGCTCCCGTATATAGCGTTTAACGCCTTGGGAGTAGCAAGGTACAGCTTGCCATACTGGAGCAAGGTACAGCCGTTCGGCATACAAGGAAATACAATTATTAGAATAAATATGTGTAAATGCAAAAAAAAAACTTTTTTCTTGAAAGCAGTACCACAATTTTATAAAACGGGCCATTAAAATACTATGGATAACGGAAACTACGCCTCGCGAATTGAAACGATATTCTATTGGTCTGACGCTACCCGCCGTTCTCGTCGACGCGCGATGTCCAGCAGCAGTCAGACGTGTTCCGTTTATGTACGTATTTAGGTGGCGTACTAAGACATTTTTGTTGCTTTTAGCGTTGATTGAAGGAGCTTTTTATGCTTTTTTGTGCAGTTATTATTTGTATGTGTTGTGTGTTCTGAGAATTTTTTAAGTAATGGCAGATTCCGGGTTTGTAAAAGCACAATCAGATTTTTCAATTTTTGGTTTCAATTCAATCAGATCGGTTTTTTTTATATATTGACACCCCCTTACCCTTGTTATTTTTAAAGATTGTTTTTTTACGAAATAATAGGAAATAAATTGTTTATCAGTAATGAAAATATTATACAAGGTGTCCCATAAGCAAACGCCAAAATTAAGTTACTTTTTTAAGTGAAACACCCTATATATTTTTGGATTCTTCGGAAATTTCTAGATATTCTAGATATATTTCATGTATAATATCCTATATATATCTTCAAATGTTTACGAAATATTGACAGTTGAAAAGCGAAAAATACCTACAATTTTCTGGGCCACCTTTTTTGAGACACCCTGTATAACTAGAATTAATTTTAAAAGAGAGTATATGAAAAACCATGCAACTTTTTTATTTAATGTTTTCTTCTAAAACTTGCAGTTAAGGCTGTATGTGGGTGTCAAAATATAATGAATAACCCTGTACATTCAAATTTCATATATCTAGGTAAGACAATATACATAAATATATGAATTTACATTAAAATGATCTTCACAACAATAAATCGTAAAAATAGAGGATAATTTAACGTTTTTCTTTTCATCTCTTCTCATGGCCTTGGACCATTTTTTTCTGTTTTCGCTCATCCATTACTATTTATAAATATCACTAATTACTAATTATGTATTAATTAACACAAATAACTAAAATTTTGACTCGGATTCAACAGTGTAGGATTCAAACACGCGTCTGGCTCCACTCAACCAGAAGAACGGCGGGTGACGTCACAGCGGCAAGGCGCGGCAGAGAGCGTTTGCCCGGCCATTTAAATTAACAATATTTAATTGTTTTATATTAGAGGCATTTCTTAACCGATATCAACAATTTTTTTTGTTCAATTTGTAATTATATGAACTATTTTTTAAAACCATTATTTAAAAACATGCATTTTCCTCATTTCGGAGTTATTTATTATAGGAACTACTCCGCATTCCCGCTAGACTAATAAAAATACTTGCCAAGTAGACGAGTCGTGAGAATGCGCTTTTATATTGTATGTCTGACTATTAGATCATTTCTATTACTTTTTCAAGTTCTTACCATTGGAATTATCTTTCCCTAAGGTCCACAACCAAAAATCAACTGTATAATAAGTATCATCGTTTGCTCCGATAGTTACCAAATATCTAGCGCATGGACTGATTGCAGTCAATAGAACGCAAGTATCTGTATACAGATTGAAGCGTGTATATATTGGAGCCCTGCAGAAAATCAATTAAATATACATATCATCTACTTATATACTTACACTATTACATATCCTTACTATTCCATATTATGAGACATCCGTCTGATCCTTCTTCAGTGCTGACCAAATATGATCCGGTATTGTCGGATGACAAACAGTTTATCAACGATTGCTAAAAATATTTGACGCCATAAAGGTGGGTTGACACGGTCCAACTTTACTTGAACCAAATATACTTGGATGCTGCCATATAACTGTACTTATAATAATGCTAATGAATGACATTCTAATAGATAACACAACACTGGAAATAGTAGAAAAATATATATATTTGGGACAACTCGGGATCTCTACTACCAGAACTCAACGGAAGAAACTCAATCATGTTCAAATCTAGAATGCCACTCTATCTAAAGAAGAAAACATTCGACCAATGTGTACTACCAGTCATAACCTATGCATGCGAAACCTGGACCCTTAAAACGGACATCATAAGGAAATTGCAGGTCGCACAACGCTCAATTGAATGAAATATGCTGGGAATAACCCAGAGAGACCTTAAAAGAATAGTCTGGATACGACAAAAAACCCAGGTAATAGATGTCATCCACAGAGTCAAATTCCTCAAATGGCAATGGGCAGGACACCTGGTAAGAAGAACGGACAACAGATGAATCACAAAAATTACAGTATGGTACCCACGAGGAATTAAGAGACCTAGAAGAAGACTGAACCTGAGATGGGACCATGATATTAGGAAATTAGCGGGGATAACTTGGGCCCGCATAGCCAACAATAGACAACAATGGACCCAATTACAAAGAGAGTATCTAAATATGTGAGGGAGACTACACGATAACTGGAAATGGTTGAATAAGCTGAAATTGATGATGATGATGATAATAATAATGCTGCGCGCGTCTCACTTGTATGCTGCTTTTGCGTCGTGTTAACTGTTTTATCCAAGTCAACTCGGAACGCTTCCTAACATCCAAGTAAGTAGGTTGGCTGCTAACTTACTTGGATGTTACGAAGCCTTCCAACTCGAATTGGATAAAGCAGTTAATATGATAGAGTAGCCTACAAGTGAGACGCGCACATACTGTTTATACTAAATAAACTTTTAGTCAGGTGATTAAGCTTGATCGGCACAGAGTTGCCCACTTTTATATATTTTCTTTTAATCAAAATATTTTAGGAAACAAAAATAAATTAATTATAAATATACAGGGTGGCGCACCTCATTCGCCTCGGTTGATTATACGAAAACGGAAAGATGTAGAAATAAAATATTTTATGGGTATATGTGGGGAGGCAATGTGCATAATTTAAAATTATTTTGAAATATACAGGGTGTCTCAGAACTAAGGTTAATACCAAAGTTATATTTTTTCTTATGGAATACTTGGTATTTTATTTCATTTTTGGATTCTTGGGCCCAAAAAAAGGCATTTATAATAAGGGTTAAATATGTTTAAAATCATGGGTTTTTGAGATATTTAAAGATATTTAAATATGCATGCTACAAGAAAATTGATTATCAACACCCTGTACATTACTTTTCAGAATTAATTCTTGTGCTGAGTTTAAAGGTAAAGAAATAAACTTTACTGAAAAATATTATTGTTTCCTTAAATTTATACAGGGGTACCAAAAATTAGTGATCCATTTTACGGATTTATTTTACATAAAAACTTTGTTATTTCAAATGCAACAGCCTGAATTTTTTAAAATAAATTGAAGCAGATTCAAATGCCCTTTCAAACTATGTTAGGGTTTCCTATACCTATCTATCTCAGATTTTAAATAAAAAGCGATTTTTAAATAAAATGGCAATCAAGATGGCTGGTATCGCCATGTCAATTTTCTAGTGACTGTTAGTAACTATTTTCAAAATCGACATTAGTGTATGGACATTATTATTTAAACAGTTTACTAAAATTTACCCACAATATTTTAATAAGTAAGTATTCTTTATTTTATGAAGAAAAATAAAGCCATGGATATGTTACTAGTTACTAGCGATTTTGTTTTGTGAGGAAAATTATTTCTTGGCCTCAATAGCTAATGCTCAAAGATATCCAAATAGGAATCTTCCTGATAAGCTTTTCTTTGAAAAATTACTTGGCCTATTTCCTATTTCGCAGAATTGGTAGTGTAGTTTATAAAAAACCTATTAGGCAGAAACCTGTCGTTGGAAGTGAAGAAATTGAATTTGCCGTAATTGGCTCTTTTATAAAAAAATCATATATCTACAAGTTATCGTAAAATAAAACAAAGAACTACTTCTTCGTTTTTCTTGACTAGAATAATAAATACATATTAATAAATATTATTTATTAAACTATTGTTGGTCAATTAAATAAAAGTAAACGGGTATAGATTTAAATAAAGTCTATAAACTAATGTCGATTTTGAAAATAGTTACTAAATGTCACTAGAAAATTGCCATGGCGATACCAGCCATCTTGATTGCCATTTTATTTAAAAATCGCTTTTTATTCAAAATCTGAGATAGATAGGTATAGGAAACCCTAATATAGTTTGAAAAAGCATTTGAATCTGCTTCGATTTATTTAAAAAAATACAGGGTGTTGCGTTTGAAATAACAAAGTTTTTAGGTAAAATAAATCCTTAAAATAGATCACCAATTTTTGGTACCACTGTATAAATTTAAGCAAGCAATAATATTTTTCAGTAAAGTTTATTTCTTTACCTTTAAACTCAGCACGAGAATTAATTATGAAAAGTAACGTACAGGGTGTTAATAATCCATTCTTTTGTAGCATGCATATTTAAATATCTTTAAATATCTCAAAAACCAAAGATTTTAAACATATTTAACCCCTATAATAAATGCCTTTTTTTGGGCCCAAGAATCCAAAAATTAAATAAAATACCGGGTGTTCCATAAGAAAAAATATAACTTTGGTATGGATCTTAGTTCTAAGACACCCTGTATATTTCAAAATAATTTTAAATTGTGCACATTACCTCCCCACATATATCCATAAAATATTTTGTTACTACATCTTTCCGTTTCCGTATAATCAACCGAGGCGAATGAGGTGCGCCACCCTGTATATACAGTTATTATTTACATCAACAAATCTCACCTTCTTAACAGCACTTAAGGGACATAAAGAGCCATTACTACCGTTTTCACGTTCAAAATATTCTACGCGATGAGTTTTTACGGCTGTTAAGCTATATTGTACACTTCGCACTAAAAGAGGTTCTAAAATGAACATTGTTCGACTGCAAGGTCTGCTAGTAAACATTTTCAAGCTCAAAGCAACACTACTTATTTAAACCAAAGGCAACGGCCTTTGTTACATTGAAACACCGGTTCTCATTAGAACACCGAAGTTAAGCGACGTAAGGCGATACTGGTGGATGGACGGGTGACCGGTTCAAAACTCTGTATCGTGCTGTTGTCCAAGGGAAAAGTCTAAAATCTACTGATACACACTGCTCATTCACGCCGGTTCGAGGCCGGATGAGATCGGATATCTCGTGAGTAAGAGTTAATTTAGACACTTCCTAAGTCGGTAGGCCACTGACCATGATATGGCCGAGGACCGCGGTTCGGATTCCGCGTAAACAAAGTAGGCCCCGTCCAGATTAGCCCTGGCAGCAAAAAGAGACCAAAAACTCGTAATACAAAACTAAAGTGTCAAAACGAATGACAATGTCAGAAAATAAATAAACGTATACTTATATGGCAGCATCCAAGTGTAGTTGGTTCAAGTACGCTTGGACGCTGTTTCGATCGTACCAACTGATTTAAAATCGATTGATACGATCCAAGTGGCGTCCAAGTGTATATGATCCAAGTACATTTGGACCGTGTCAACTAGGCTTTAATTGCAGTTCATGATTGTTGTAATATTGTAATATCTTACGTGTCCAGCTACATGTATCATTTCTCTTGTACAGTAATCAAAGAATACCAAACAATGAACACATGAGAAAAATAATTGCTTTCTTGTGTCGTCGGTCAAATTTATAAGTCCCACTTTGGAATTAAGACCAAACGACCAGGCCAAAGTCTAAAAAATTGACGGAGTGATATCTTACTAGAATTTAGATATAAAATATGACAAAAAAGTTTTATGATCAAGTGTGCTTTGTATGAAACAATTCTGATAGGGGATTAGAAATTTGAACGGTTAAAATCAAAACTCTCTTGATCATAAAACGTTTACATCATATAGTACGTAGGTACAGTGCTTTCATTTTAATTTGTCTCACTTTTAAAAGGCTGTAAAATATTTATTTTTTGAGTTAAAAGGTTGAGTGAAAAAAGAAATTGTAGTGTTTTTCGTTAATTTTTATGCTGTTGAGTCAAAACTTGTATAAAGTGTCAAATGTCAAAATTATTGACATAACTTGCTCTTTTTTAAATGATACACCCTATATAGTTCAGTCATTGGGGATCAAAAAAGGGGCCTGCTTGGAAAAAGTCAAAACTTGTATAAAGTGTCAAATGTCAAAATTATTGACATAACTTGCTCTTTTTTAAATGATACACCCTATATAGTTCAGTCATTGGGGATCAAAAAAGGGGCCTGTTTGGAAAAAAGTCCGGAAGTTTTGAAACTTTGCAGGTTTATAGGTTTTGGGGTCCCTAACTAAAATCGATAAAATGCACATTTGCAGACTTGCCGGCGCCCAAAATCGGTATTTTGTAAATATCTCGAAAACTATCCTTCTTTAATTTTGCTCTCCTCAAATTTTCGCGAAAAACGCATAGTTTTCGAGATATTCACAAAATACCGATTTTGGGCGCCATCTTGGTCGTGGCGGCACCGGCGGCAAGTCTAGAAATGTGCATTTTATGGATTTTAGTTTGGGACCCCAAAACCTATAAACCTGCAAAGTTGCAAAACTTCCGGACTTTTTTCCAAGCAAAAATCCCCAATGACTGAACTGATAATATATCATTAAATATTTAAAGACTTTTTCTTTCTAATTACGAAAATATGCCACATTTGCCTTTTTTTTCATTTTGTGTTTCATTAAATTTTTTGTTGCTCCTAGATTTGAGTAATTTACTAAAATATTCTGAGTTTACAAACCAGAAAATTTTCTATATCATAATAGTAAAAACCATGACAATGCTTGGAAACAAAATAATAAACGCGGGTATCCTGATGTTGCAAAAAATTACAATTTTAATCATACATATTGATGATTAATGAAAAGAAAGGGCAAATGTGGCATATTTGTATATTGATATACAGGGTGAGTTTCCTACGATGTTCTCTATGGGCATCTCGGAAACTACTGGAGATAGAGAGTCGGTTAAATGGGGAAAGAATTGCAGTTTTGTGGGGTCATAAATATGCGCTTTTCAGATTTTTGAAAAAGTTCATGGGTTACTAGATATTTCGAAAAAAACAAATTTTGCCTATTTTAGAAATTGTCCCTAATTCCATTATAATCTATTTTAGACAAAAAGTGTTCAGATAAAAGTTGTAGATAATCACATTCCTAATGAGTTTGTGTTCTCCGATTTGCTAAAAAAGTGAAGATAAATTTATCAGGGACGTGCACATGGGTAATCACTGGAATATTTTTCAAAAATAAAACATGTGCACCACTGACTTTTTTCTTTTGATATTAAAATTGTGTAGACCGTTTAATGCCAGTTAAAAGTTATCTCTTGATAATTTTTAGATTATTACTACTATTAGCTCAACCTACAGCAATTTCAAAAAAAAAAAAAATAATGGTATTTAAGATATTTACAAAAAAACTAATTTTAAAAATTTTAACATCCTGTAACTCTAAAACTATGCATTTCCATACCCATGTTTATAGGAACTGTTTTTCACATTTTTTGATGAGGAATCAATGAGTACTTATTTAAAACTTTCGCAAGTTAAATGATATTAAAATTTATTAAAGGTTGCTATTCGACTTGGATGAAGACAAATTAATAAAATTGCGTTTATCTCGTCAACGAGCCATTAAACTGCTTACACTATTTCGCTAACAAGAGAAAAAAAGTCAGCGGCGTACATGCTTTTTTTAGAAAAATATTCCAGTGATAATCCATATGCACGCCCCTGGTAAATATGTCGATACTTTTTTAGCTTTAAAGTATTGTCGCAATTATAGCAACTTTTACCCTCAAAATTTCATTCGAATCGTTAAAAGTACTTGGAATAAAATTAAAATAAATCGAAAAAATATTAAATCCTTAACAAGCAACTTTAAATGAATTATTTTTCTTAGTATAAGCCCAAGATTCATCTCTTTAAATATAGGCATGCCATTAAAGAACAGCCTGTATACTTGCATCTTATGCACATGACGAGTTTGAATGTTTTTTTTTCTCAGAACATCTATCAGTGATTACTAAAAAAATATTATACTTACAAACGGTTTTAGAGCTGAGGATAATTCAGGATTGCTTAATGTCTTTGGGCCTTTAATTTGTTCCAATAGTTCGATCTCAGATTTGGCATGCTCTACCGATACATCAGAAACAATCGAGGATAGCGATTTACGAAAAAGTCCTTCCTCCCCCAACCCAAATTCATCAACATTGATCTTCTTAGAGATATATAAAAGATTCTCCTTGTCTTCTCCATATGATATACTGTCTTCAGACATTAAGTTGAATATATTTTATGTAAAATTGAAAAAATTGCTTTTTGTCAAAAATTTGACAAAAATCTTTAAACGTCAAATTTTTTACAAGTAAAGTCAAAACATAGATAAAGGAAACAAGTTTAGACTGGAATGTCTGGCTTGCTGCCAAAACTTATAATGGTTTTGGGGTTCATACGTTGTACGGGATCTGGCGCTGCTATAGGCTTGGCGCATTCTCCGCCAGTGCTGCCACCGCCGGAGAATATCGTAAATAACGAATACATACAAATACACGGGCTTAAATAGCGAGTAAATGAAAAAATTAGTATATAATTATTCTAAAAGTGTTTGAAAGTATAATTTGTGAAAATTCTAAACAAAAAAATAAAAAGGTAAATATTTTGATATCTTCAGACGGTCTAACTTGCATTATAATTTATTATTCCAGTTAAAAAAAAGTTTTAGATGAGTTCAACTACGGTAGCGAGCATAGTTTTATCACCGGTTTTGCTAGTGGGGCATAATTGGAGCTATTTCGGCTTTAACGAAATTTTTTAAAGGTACATAATTATAATTTTAGAAGATGTTCATAAAACTTTTAATCACTAGTTGATTAAAAAAGTATACCATTAATATTGCAAATTTATTTCATCCTCTCATAGTATATTATGTCTATTTAATTTTTTAATTATGTAACACGCACTTTGTTTACTCACTTGTTTCGTCAAACTGCTTGAATTTTTGCTATTGATCAAATCGGTTTAAGAAATTATGAAGCTATAAAATAATTTCGGGAGAGTTAAATATCCGGGAAAGTTGCGTTATTGAATGTTATTGCACCCAAGAACGCCCTAATTACGCTCTCCTTTGCGCGTTAACATTTTTTTTTGGGGCAATATTTAATAACATTTGAAATTGTCACAACACAACAAGACGCCTATAGTTCAGTCATTGTGGATTTTTGCTTGGAAAAAAGTCCGGAAGTTTTGCAACTTTGCAGGTTTATAGGTTTTGGGGTCCCCAACTAAAATCCATAAAATGCACATTTCCAGGCTTGTCGCCGGCGCCGCCATCTTACCAAGATGGTGTCCAAAATCGGCATTTTATGAATATCTCGAAAACTATGCGTTTTTCGCGAAAATTTGTGGAGAGCAAAATTAAAGAGAATAACATTTCCTATAAAAAAGGTTTTATGAAAATTTTCGCTGAAGTCAACCGTTTAGGCACAAAATCCCTGGAAATTTTACAATTTTGCGTAAAATATGATATATTATGTATAGTCGATTTTCCGAAATCAAATGTCGATTAGGGTTCACTAAAACTAGTTTTAGTTTAGTTTCTTCAATTTTGTCATAAAACAGTGGCGTATCATTAATTCGCTCATTAATTTATGAATAATTAATTTTAATTATTGAAAATGTGTACTTGTTTCCACACCATCCAAGAGGTAAAGTACATGGCGCGTTTATTTTAACGTGGTCTCCCCAGAGGTCTACTCCACTAGATAAATTCAAAACTTTAACTTATCTGCACAAGCCCGACGGATCTGGCTCATTGATGTCAAAGTCGATCGTGTCTGCTGTGCTGGGCTCATCAGGGTGGTCTCTCAATACGTCCAACTGTTCATCTTCAGCCGCCAGAGGGATATCTACAGGCAAGTCCAACTCCTCTTCATCGGATTCGTCGAGTGACACTTCAGTGACGTTGTCACAGGATTTCTCATGCCAGTATGCACAAATCATTGAACTTTAATCCTGCTTTTCTACATCTGCAGGCTTTACCATAGTTGTTCGTTTTGCATTTACAGGATAAAAATGTCAATAGGGATTTTGGAGCTGGATCTTTCAACGTTGTGACTGGAGTAATGCCTGTTTTTGTTTTCTTCCAACCCCATTCTTCGGCATCTTTGGTACAACCAGACCAATGCTGAACCTGGTGGTCAGTTCGCAATGAATGCTGTCCAGCACGACAATTAATTATTCATAAATTAATGTAATGAGACGCCGCTGTTTCATGACAAAATTGAAGAAACTAAACTAAAACTAGTTTTAGTGAACACTAATCGACATTTGATTTCGGAAAATCGACTATATGTATATCATACTTTACGCAAAATTGTAAAATTTCCAGGGATTTTGTGCCTAAACGGTTGACTTTAGCGAAAATTTTCATATAACCTTTTTTATAGGAAATTTTTTTTATTCTCTTTAATTTTGCTCTCTTCAAATTTTTACGAAAAGCGCATAGTTTTCGAGATATTTACAAAATACCGATTTTGGACGCCATCTTGGCAAGATGGCGGCGCCGGCGGCAAGTCTGGAAATGTGCATTTTATGGATTTTTGTTAGGGACCCCAAAACCTATAAACATGCAAAGTTTCAAAACTTCCGGACTTTTTTCCAAGCAGGCCCCTTTTTTGATCCCCAATGACTGAACTACTAGTTCGAATCATTTTTCACTTATTTTTTACTACTCGAAACAGCGTTACATCACACAAACCTCGTACCTGAGTGTTTTATAGTCTCAATAACTGCACTAGCAAAAAACTAAAATACTTAAATATTATGACAAATCCCCGACTTCAATATTATTTTAATGCGATCGACATGACGCGGCGCGGCGTGAACTATTCAGGGTGCTACAAATTCGAGGTACGAGCATTGGTATCTCGGAAACCGTAATAGATACGAAGATGGTTAAATGGGGCAAAGTTGCCCTCCTTGGCATGTTCACTAAGATGCCCTCAAAAAAGTTTTAAAAATTTCAAGAATTGCTGAGTTTTTTGGAAAAAAACGGATTTTTTTGAAAATCAATTTTATTTTTTCCTGTCGTTACTTTTTAGAAAATCAAAAAACTAATTGCACGTCCTCATAACCACTTTATTAGGGCTATCTGATGGTATTTTTAGATTTTCAAATTTGCTTATAATTTGTGAGATACAGAGGCCAACCTAATGTTTTTAAATACGGACCTGCATTTTTTATTTGAAGTTTTGAAAGACTTCGGTCTCCTGAGTACAATGATATGCCACACTTGATACTTTTTTTTTGTTTTGGATACCTTAACAATAAAAAACTATTTAATTGTTATTTAAAATAAAAACTCGGACTATATTGATCAGCGCTAATTAACATTGAATAAGGAAAATCACGTCTTGAAAGATTCAAATAATTAATATCCAGGTCAGCAATTTAAAGATATCTATTATTTTTAACTTTTTTTATTGTGAATTTAAAATCCCAGTGTACGATCTAATAATATGCGTAATATTAATCGTAGTTATTATAAATAAATCAACTTCTACAAACTAGTTTCTAATGCTCTGCATGTTCGAAAGGGTTACCACCATAATACACAAATTTATTTTTGTTCAATCTTTTTTATAGCTTTTTGAGCAGATCTTATACTTCCGAATGCATTTTGTACTCTTTAATTGTTTTTTATTACTCGTTAATTGTTTTTGTACTCTTAATGTTGAAATGTATTGATTTTAAATGTCCAAAATAATTTTTATTGATTTTCTTTATTCAATGATAATTAGCGCTGATCAATATTGTTGTGCTGAATATAATCAGATTAAATAAATTAAACAACCAGAGTCGGATTTGAAATTATTTTAAAGAACAATTAAATATTCTTTTTTATTGTTTTACCAAAAACAAAAAAAGTATCAAGTGTGGCATATCATTGTACTCAGGAGACGAGGTCTTTCAAAATCTGAAATAAAAAATGCAGGTCCGTATTTAAAAAAAATAATTTGGCCTCTGTATCTCACAAATTATAAGCTAATTTGAAAATCTAAAAATACTATTAGATAGCCCTAATAAAGTGGCTATGAGAATGTGTAATTAGTTTTTTTAATTTTCTAAAAAATAACGACAGGAAAAAATAAAAATGATTTTCAAAAAAATCCGTTTTTTCCAAAAAACTCAGCAATTCTTGAAATTTCCAAAACTTTTTTGATGGCATCTTGGTGAACATTCTAAAGCGCAACTTTGCCCCAATTTAACCGTGTTCGTATCTATTACGGTTACCGAGATACCAATGCTCGTACCTCGAATTTGTAGCATCCTGTATATTGATAATTTCTGGTTTCTGCCGTAGAGTGCGCTGCGGTCGGAATTTATTGAAATCAACTGAAATGCACCAAAAAAATGCAACAAGAACAGAAATAATTTTCTTTTGTCAAAGCAGGTCAAAGTCACTGTTGTCACCATTTTCAAAGTAATTATTGCTATCATGTGAGTTTAAGTTTTATTTACTCAAACCCGTGATAATTGTGAAAACTGACATTAAAAACTTGAAAAAGTGAGCTAACTGTGAACTGCAAAAACTATCGTGGATCGTGGCATAACATGGGTTTCCAATGATTCATAGGTATTTCATTCATGTCCTTATATAAAATAAAGTTTCTTATATGCAACACACTGTATTTTATTTTAAAAAATTAAAAGAAAATAATAAATTTAAATAAATAATATTTGGCGACATAATTCCGGAAAAAGCCGATCCGCTCCGAACTTATCAAAAGCTCTGGGTGGCGACCGTTGTAAGAACAGTGCCAAATAGTATTTACATAGTCCTTATAGGCCCTTTCCAACCTAAACTTGTTTCATTTATCTATGAAGTAAAGTCAAAACAACTAATTACGGGTCTTTATTGCTTTTATTAAACATATTTTATTTTTTATTGTCTTAAAATTAAAGTAAAATGAATACTTTGGAATATTATTTTTTGTTAATGCTGTACATAAATCTAATCCTATGTATATTCTAAGTAAATTCTAATAAATAACAAATAGTATCTCTCATATAAATTAAATAAAATATACTAGAATTATTGATAAATATAATTATGTATGTTGAAACTGATAAAATTCAAATTTCTAACTTCAAAATATCTGACAGGTATAAATATATGCATTAAAAATAGTCAATATAAATAAATGAGATTAGATAAAGCTCTTGCAACTATAAAAAAATCATATAAAAATATTAATGATTCAAGGTAAATACGGGTTCTTGAGGAAGCAACTCCTAGTAAAATACAGAATGGTCTACGAAATTGACAATATCATAAAATCTTATGATTAAAGAGTTAGGACACTTGACAATAACAACACTTAAAGCTAGATTGAGATTTCAACAAATCAATTGATTGGACTGGTCGGTCTAGATCCAACTGTAAAATCTTTATATTGTGAAAAAACACATATCTGAAAACAATACTTACTTTAAACTTATTTAATCCAAAATATACAAGGTGAACCATTAGTGCGCGGAAGTCCAATATCGTCGTCGTTGTCGAAGATATGAAAGAAGTTTTATACAGATGTTACATGATTTATAAAGAGGCATATTCTAAAAATATTTTGTTGCATACAGGGTGTCACAAAAAAAGTTATGATAAAGTTTAAGTTTTTTTTACATTGCACCCCCCCCCAACCATTTTTCTGTAGATAATTGGAATCAGTATAAAATTCTGCATATATTACACTACTTTTATTTGAAGCACTATGCAGTGTTGCCATTCTATTTCTTATTTACTAAAACTTTGGTTAAAAACACTATATCCGAAAAATGGTTAATAACTGGAGTGAATATAACTTTTTTAATACTTATTTATATTTTCCATTTCAACAAGGATAACAGAATAAATCCTCGAAGGAAAATTTACATTATCTTATACAGGGCAATTTTTATGGTGGTGCCAACATCAAAATATTATATCTCAATTTTCTTAAATGCATCACCCTGTATATTATTTTTCTTTCAGATGCAGTATTAAAAAGAGAACATTTTTTGTATTTAAAGTGTTCCTAAATTTGTAAGGGTTTCGCAGATATTCGCGGTATTATATTATACCGGGTGCGTCTCAAAACTGGTTCATCCCCTATAACTTTTTTATTTTTTCAGATAAAAAAAACGAGACTTGGTATGTTAGTATATGATATAAATTAGGATAAATCGACGGTATTCAATTGTTTTCGGTCACTTCCTGTTTCACCGGAAATGACTACAACTTTTGATTTTTAAATGACACCCTCGGTATTTTTTTTACTTTATTCGATAGAAAATGACACTTTGAATGGAATGACATATCATATATGTCATTTGACATTTTCGCTTTAAAAAAAATTGTATTTTAAATTTCAATCCAGAGTGCTGTGGGTGTGTTAAAAAAACTAATTTTTAATCAAGAAGCCTTGGAAAAATAGGTTTGATTGTCTTTCATATCTTCGGCATCAACAATGATATTGGACTTCTATCCACTAATGGGCCACCCTGTATATTTTTTTGAATATTTAAATATTAAATTATATGAAAAACATGTATTTTACGTATTTTATAAATGTCTCTATGACATTAATTTAATACTATATATTTATTTTAATTTTATTATTAATAAATTACCTTATCCTTCAATTGTTGACACAGTTGTAATCCAACAGTAATCAAAACTAGAACTTCGTTTAACCATGGCACTGAAGTTTCAGCATGTGTTGATTCATATTTCATTTCACCATGACTATTGATCAGTTGATATATGGCAAATATTAGTTTATGACTCTGTATGTAAAAGCTTATGGCCAAGTCCTCAGACAAATTGGGGGTAAGTGATTTCTAAACAATATAAGATAAAACATATTGAATTATAAGTAATACTAATGAAGAATTACCATATTTCTGCTCTTTATTAAATCATCCATGGTCTTTTTTCTTGGTACAATCAAACTTGTTCTGCCTCGCTGTAAACTACCAAGAATATTTCCAAGGATATGAAGCACTTCATCAGAAGATCTAAAAGTGATTATGATAAGTACATAAGTAGGGTATTTGGCTAGAACAATTAATGATGAGATTCAATTGTTTAGTTTCAGAAGAATTATATTTTTTATTTTTACAATAAAATTTGTAACTCTTACTTAAATTTGTAGTTTTTTCCAACGTCATCTATATGATATAATGCTTGTTGTAAATGATTCGATGCATCTTGTACCTGCTGTAATTTCCATGGACAATGATTTTGTATACTAGTCTTTACAAGAGTTGCTGAGTTTTGACGTGTTATTTTGAAATTAATATCCTATAAATCAACAATGTTTAAATGAAATTTAAAAATTGATACAAACATACAGCATGGCTAATGCTATCACCAGTTAAAGTAACAACACATTTTAATTGATCTACAGGTACTGACAAAACAAATTTTTCCTGTTTACTTGAGTTATCATGACCGTAAAGAGCCACTGGAAACCTTCTAGCACACTCCTACAAATTCCATTAATCAACAATGATAACCAACTATGTAAATAAATTCAAGACTTACCACTAAAATCTGGTGAATTTGTTCTAAACCTTTATGTATCTCTTCATTTAATACCCATTCAAATTCTTTTTGCTAAAATTAGATTTCATGTTAGGATTTTTAACACCAAACTAGTTAATTACTTTACCAAATTAATTGCTTCTGCTTTTTCATCGTCAACCATCGCGTGTAATAAAATATTATATATTGCACACTAGTATCTGTGCTATTATTTAACCATTCAATACAGTAAAATAATTTATCAATTACTATCTTACAAAAACTTTAAAAAACTAAGACACTAAGGACACAGGACACATCTGGGACAGAACAAACTGTCACGCGTCAAACATCTGTTTTTGACATCCGTCTGTTTTGATCGGATCCATAGAATTTAGAACACCTAGATATTCTGAAAACTACCCTCCTATTTCAGAATGAAAATGTACATACAAAAAAAATTATAGCTATTTTTTAATACTTTTAAAATACCAAAGTATATGTGGAAGTAGTACGTGTACTGTTACTGTTGTAATATGTTGATAATTATTAATATCTCCTATTTAATTTTATTAAAAATTTGTTTTTTTGGTTGCCTATCCAGATGTCGTTGTTTGGTGTAACGTGACCATAGACGTGACATATAAATGTTTGACAGATATGAAATATGTCATGTGACAAAATACTTAAAAAAAACCAGGTGGATGACACTTCTTATGGGAGAACTGGCAATGGTTGAAAACTTGACTACAAGCGATTTTCTAGGAATCTTCCTTACCGATAAATTATTGACAAGAGTGACAGATATAGCCTTGACGTTCTTTCAGTTTTCCAGTTCATCTCTTTTTCTTTCTAAAGTGTGCGTTGAAAGGAGACAAAAACAATTTTTGGTGACCCATAATTTGTTATTCGAACACCACTTTTCTCCTTGTCGGGTCGTTGACGTTGACTTGTCGCCATTTTATTTCTTTTGTTTACACGCTGCATTTTGCTTTGCAAATTTAATACATAAATTATTTAGGCAAATATATAGGTTTTTAATAAAACTCCTCGGACTAACGTGTAGGTAAGTGTTGATAATTTTTTTTTCATCTTAACATGCTCATTGTCGTTCTCCTGATTTTAGGTGACAGAAAAGGATCATCAAATCAAATTGAATTTTATATTTTCCTTCCTATTTATCCTTCCTAAATATCAACGAGATGAGCCATCGGAAGAAAGGGACCATAGTACAAAACAGAAAGGTGATCTTTTTTCTTTCCACTTCGGATATTGAAATTATTATATACTGTAGTCGTGTTCGGCATTATGCTCTGAGAAATATAGATAAACAAAGAACAACAGATATAAAGCATCCCAGAGGAAAAGAGAGGCAATACCTGTATGTACTCTCTCTGATATTTGTGAAAGTTACAGCAAAGTATTGTTGTAAATGTCATCTTTTTGATCGACCTGAAAACTTCGAGCAAAAAGATGACACTTTCAACAATACCCTGACAGATATCAGAGACGATACAGGTTTTTCCTCTCTTTTCCCCTGGAATACTTTTAATTTATTATTCTTTGTTTATCTAGATTTCTCAGAGCACTATGAACGAACTCAGCTTGTATGTTTGAAATAATCGTCCAGTTGGCTTAAAAATGATGATCGAAGACATTTCCCATATAATTTTACTTTCAAAATTATGATATATCTTTTATTTCTAAGCCATCTATGACGCCATTTTTTTCAGTTTTGTTATAATTAATTTTGTCTCTTGATCTACTTGTAACATTATTCTTTTAATTTTATTAATTTATTGTGGTGAAATTAATTTCTGTTGTATATTTGATATTGATATTAAACATATTTTTAAAAAATGGTGTATTTTTTGTGTTTTTGTGTATGTCATAATTAAAAATAAATGAAGAAATAAAAATTTTTATTTTTTTAAACTTCCCGCCATGCGTGACAATTTAGTCCGTAGTTCCTACAAGCGAAATTGGGGGCGCTAGTAGCAGTAGACTTGTCAACAGTGTCAAATTTAAACGTCAATTTCACTTTCCAATATTTAGCAAGGCGCTCGCACTTCTTCTTGTGTATGTGTTTTGTGAAAAAAACATAAACAACAAATAGGTGTGACAGTAGTTTTGGATCTAGTTCGAAATTTTACTTTCCCTTTCAAATATAAGAAAAATAATCTAGGAATAATTACAACCTGAAAGCAGAAATATTATGTCAGAGTCCATAACAGCAATGGGTAAGAATTTTTTAACAAATTTTGGACATGAAAACTAATACAGGACTTACTGTTTCTATTTTCTGCATTCATTAACATATTTGATTATATTTCTTAAATTAATTTTATATATCTTTAGGTGAATTAGATATGCTGAGAAGTCTTTATGATTTTAAGGCCACATATGCAAAAACAATAAGTTTCAAAGCTAATGAATATTTTATTCTACAACAGACAAATACGAAACATAAAAACTGGTGGGAAGTTGTAAATGAAAGGGGCGAAATTGGCTATATCCCTTCAAATTATGTTGAAACAGTAACTGTAAACTCATCATTTTATATCATATTTTTGGAGAACGCTATAGAGAATTTGAGAAGGAAAGATAATGAAGAAACAATATTAGGTACTAAGAGTGAAATTATATTGAAATTGAAAGAATTAAAAAATCAGGTATATTTGTTAGTAGTAATATGATTTTTTTTGTGATTGTTTTATTGCTATTTTAGGTAGAAAATACAAGCTTTCATCATCATAGTAATAGCTACAGATCAGATGTTAATGTCCAGAAGTCTTGTAAAGAGTCTGAGTCTACAGTCACAACTTTAAAAACATCAAGCAGTAGCACTTATGGTTCTCAAATCTCTGACGTTAAACCTAGAATAGCAATGGAAGAACCTATAAAACCTATTACAAAAAGTCGTGATAGTATACAAAAAAGCATTGAAAATATTCACGAAGAAGTAAAGTCTGAGATATACGAAGCCAAAAAGTCTGATTTAAATGTGTCATCTTCAAATGTTACTCCTGTGATAACAGCACAGTCTGTATATGAACTAGTTGAAAGTGTAAGAATCAATACTAATTTATCACACGAGATGTCTAGGGTAGCTGTTGAGACTGTGATCCAAGGACTGCACGAACTTTTACCTGCATCAATTTTTCCATACCTAAGGTACTGCATATTTATTGGCAATCGGGTTTTGCTTTTTTTAAATAAATATTTTTAGTACAATTTTGTCTCACTCTCAAACATGTCTGGTTGTTGATGATGGTCAAATAGAGCAAACTCACGATGCTAGTAGATTAAAGATTATTTTTAATGAGTTAATCAGTTGCAAGGAAGATTCTCAACAAAGAAGCTGGATGTTACATGAAGATGAAAGTGTTATTAAGGAGTACATAGCTGAGCTTATTTCAATATTGGTAGTTTCATTGATATTTAACTGATATGTTAAGTAATTACTTAATTTGTTTCTTAGTCTAATGCTGACACAAGCATATCACGACATGTAATATCATCCAATCAGTATCATGTGATAATAACACTAATTCAGTATTATCAAATGGAAGTTAGATGGTCCATCAGGCAACTATTGTTGCAAGCCTTTGGTGTTTTATGTAGTTTAGATAAGACTGTAATAAATATAATGTTAAACTCTATATTACCAGGGGAATTAGCAAGGTAAAACTATTTTATAGAGTTTACCAATGTAATTTACATAATATATACAAATTTTTAGAGATATGATGGCTAATCCTCGGAACATTCCAAAGTTAAATTATTCATCTTTATTACTCACCATGATTTTCTCGATGGGAGAGGCTATGCCAATTACTAGCCTTGGTAAATAATTTAATCTTGAAGAACGAATATCAAATACAACTTCCTTTTTGATTTTAGAATACTTGGGTCCAGATTTTCTGTCATTTGTGTTGGATAACATTGAAAACCCACCAGATACAGATTTAGATGAGCAAATACCAGATTTATTTCTAAATTTAGTTATCTCTTTTAATCTTCAATTTGATGATGAAATGTCAAATCCGGTTTTATTTACTTTGGAGGATAGACAAGTGGCCAAAACATTTTGTGAAAAAATTTTGTTGCTGTTGAATAGAGAAGGTAATTATTTTTTATCATTTCTAGGGTGGGTTATTAAATGTCTCTATTTTTATGTATTGCTAGAGGACCCAATAAGAATTTTTGACCATGAACCAGCTCCACCTCACTCTTTGTTGAAGCTGTTTAAAGATCTGTTTAGTCGACGTAGTACGGCAGCTTTATTTTATACGAATGATACCAAAGTGTTAATTGATATTATTGTTAGAAATATAGCAGACCTTTCCCCAGGAGATAAGGTAAATTATTTTTGTTATGACTATTTTCTTTTTGTGGAATAATTGATAAATTATTGAAAAATATTAATTTATTTCAAGTTTAATATTAAAACAAAAATGTCTGGTTTTAGGAGTCAAAATTTTCTATCAATTTATAATTCATTTAAATATATAAGTACCTATAAGACTATGCATAAAGAGGTGCATTTTAGAACAATATCATAATATATAAGTTCATAGTTCACATACTTCTGCTAATTATAGCTAATCAAAATTAATTATTTGAGACGCCAACTGTAGTTATATATTTTTCTAATATAATTAGATTTATACCTATTGTTAGCCAGTTGTTTAGGGAATTTAGAAGTTAATAGTGAAGTAATAAATATACTAATTTTTGAATTAATAGCCATTCTATTTCTTATTTACTAAAATTTTGGTTAAAAACACTATATCCGAAAAAATCGTTGGTTAAAAACTGGAGTGAATATAACTTTATTAATACTTAGCTATATTTTACTAAACACCAGGGATTATAATATAAATAAACCCGCAAAGGAAAATTTACATTATCTTCTACAGCGTAATTTTTATAGTGTAGCCAACATTGTAATATTTAAATGGGGTGCAATTTAAAAAAAACTTAAAATTTTATCATAACTATTTGTTTGTGACACCCTATATACGACAAAATATTTTTAGAATATACACCATATATATATAAACTATGCAACATCTGTATCAAACTTTTTTTCATATCTTCGACAACAACGACGATATTGGACTTCCCCGCACTAATAGGCCACCCTGTATTGTATACAGGATATCCCAGGCCGAGCGTGCATTATAAGTTTCTAGAAAACTACACTATCTAGATCGGAGACTTTTTGCACAGCACTGTTTCACAACAAGATCTATCAATTTAAAATACTTTCAATATGGCGGCACTTCCGGAAATACCGGAGGGTCAACTTTCGTTTAGCTGAAATCACTTATTAGAAAAAAAAATTGTCTTTAAAAAGCTACTGTGAACCACGGAATACACAAATTTTCCTGCGGAAATGCGTAATTTCCAAATTTCGCACTTTAGAATAACTGAAATCTGCTATAAAAAAAATACATTTTGCGTTTTATTTTTAGTATTTTTCTGAACATATAAACACAAAAATTTTCCTGCGGAAATAAGCTGTTTTAATTTTCTAAGGAAATTTATTAGACTTTAGAATAGCTGAAATCAGTTATATAAAAAATACATGTATTTTTGCCTTTTAGAAGCATTCACGAATTGAGGAAAATAAAAATTTTCTTGCGGAAATAAACTGTATCCATTTTCTGAGGAAATTTAATAGACTTTAGAATAGCTGAAATCAGTTATATAAAAAATAAATATATTTTTGCCTTTTAGAAGCGTTTAAAAACTCAGGAAAATAAAAAATTTCCGGCGGAAATGCTTGATTTTCATTTTCCATTTGTTTCTTATTATATTATCGGGTCTTGTAAAGTATAAGTACCCACGAATTTAGCATTTTTTTTGGCAGAAAGTCCTATGCTTATAGAATAGTTTAAAAGAAAAAAATCCTTGGATTTGAACCAAAAAATCCACTTTTGAACCAAAAAAAATAATTTAAAAGTGTCTAAAATGCTAACCAATCTAATAATAAATCTAATAATATTTTTACAAAATCACTGTTAATTATTAAAATACAGAAACCACAGCTTAACACCCTCCACAAAGAAAAGCTAACCTAAGCAACCCAAATTCGAACCAATCTAATAATATTTTTGCAAAATCACAGTTAATTATTAAAATATAAAAACCACAGGTTAACACCCTCCACAAAGAAAAGCTAATCAAAACAACCCAAATGCTAACCAATCTAATATTTTTGCAAAATCACAGTTTATTATTAAAATATAAAAGAAAACTGCATGATCCAATGATGTTTTGTTTTGAATCAGCATCCCTATTCGCTCCCGGGTCCTGTAAGCTTCTAAACTGAAAAATGTATGAAAAATAAAGTGCACAAAATGACATTGACACATTTCCGCAGGAATTTTTTTGTCTTTCTTTGCTCGTAAAGGCAATAAAACAAATATAAGTTCATTGTTCATGTAACTGATTTCGGCTATTCTAAAGTCAAAGCATTTTTTTATGTAAAATAAACATAAAAAATTTCCGCAGACACTATTTTGTGTTTAGAAAAATGTCTAAAACACATCCCGAAGACTAGTTTTGATAACTGATAGTTATAGTCATAAAATAATTAACTAGAAAGAAGTGTCAACTCTGTGTTAAATCGTGGAAACACGATACGCCACCGAAAGCCTTCGTTGTCATCTGGAGAACTAATTTTGAATTGACAGGTTGACATGATGGCTTAACATATTTTAGTATGGGCGGCTATACGTGCCTCCCGGCGCCATTTTTTTTATTGGTAATAGCTTTATTTCAACCTGTTATTTTAGATATTCATCATATCTATCTGTTTCTCGTTTTTGTTTAAATATGTCAGAGATTAAATTTAAATTTATAAGTAAAGGCGCGAATAGTCAGACGCTAAATTGCTTTATGTAGTAGATAGAAACCTAAACTACTTCTGTTGGTTAGTATGAAATAAATCAACTAATCGAGAAGCACTTCTCCCGCTTGCGTAATTCAATGCTGTTGAACGAAAAGGATCGACTTATGTGGATTTTGTATAGCTCCATCTCAAAATTTTTGTATATTTGTACTCCTAACGCCTTCTAGAACGCATATATAAAGTCATTTTTTATATAACAGATTTCAGCTAAACGAAAGTTGAGCCATACCGGAAGTTGACAGCAACTTTTTTATTTTAAATTGGTACTCCCATTTTTATTACATACTTAAATTCTCTGTAAAATTTTATGAATTTTGATATAAAACACTCTATACCTAACTACCGTTTTTTGAGAAAAAAATATTTAAATAATTTTTGGAAAGGAAAGAAACTGTCTGTTAAAAGAATGTGTATAGCCTAAACGTCAAATTTAGTGATTTCCACAGCTACTGTGGCATAAAGAGAAGACATGTGGCTATCTATTTCAAAGATTAAATTATTCAAATGTTATATAATATTGGCCGTAGCTGTCATGGAATTGAGCCATTAAAAAATGATCATAAATATTTTTTTTTGAGGAATTTAATTGTGATGTCAATATGACTCTACTTGTAGAGGGCGCCGCAGTAATTTCTTTGATTTTTAGAAGCGACACGATTACTTAGACCTTTGTCGGCGCGTCCTTCGCAACACAAATTATCAAGAACACAAACACAGAATTGAAGATATATTGAAGTGTTTTACAAGGATTTTCTGTGAGGAGAGTACCTTGAGCAAAAGGGACCAGCACTTGCTCAAAGAAATTTTTGCGGAATTTCCGCAATATTTTCAGTAGATGTTCTCTTGTTTTATGTGATTTCATATCTTGAAGCCAAATGCTAAGAACATATTTTATGTAGTGTATTCAAGAATATATATTTTTTATTTTTATACGATATTATATGCTTTGATTTATAAAATTTATATGTGATATTTATTATTTTTAAATATATTTTTGTATTGTTTTTAATTTCGTTACTTTGTTTGTGAGAATGTAGATTTTATGTTATAGTAGATTTGTCAGCTTTATGTAGGAATAGGTTATACTAAGGGCTGGCAAAGGTTAGTTTTGGGTCGAGATTTTCGTATGTAAGAAGAGTAGAATGCGTTTATAATGTACTGAACAAAGAGAGAACAGTAAAAATGTTGCCAAACGTATGAAATAAACCGAGAAACTGTGCACACTAAGATACGTGGAAGGAGATATAGCAGATTCGTCGCGGTCGACCCCTCAGTACTTAAAATTCTAGGGAAGAGTGTACATCATGCTTTCAGCTTCACGATTCAATTACGTCTCGTGATACTTTATTGGTTTATTTATTAAAGAGTCGTTGTAATTTTCCCTATAGCTGGTAAATTTTTAAGTGCAAGTTAGAAAACACTTCTACTTTTGGTAAAAATAAGTGGAATTGAGTTGGTGTTCGACAATGGTTGCTCTATTCTATTATACAGGGTTGTTCACCACATACGACACGGAGTATTGTAGCTAAACGATGAGATTTTTACAAATTGTAAGTTTGGGGTTCGTTGAAAGACTATTAGAGCTACAATTTAAAAATATTTTTACAAGATACAGAGTGTCCCAAATAAATAAAAAATATCAAAGTTGTATTTTTTTAAATGGAACACCCTGTATATTATTACATTTTAAGTTTCTACGATTAAAATAAAGGTAAATTTGATTAAGGTTTATTATACTTAAACCTTACCGTTTTTGAAATATTTTCAATTTTGTGAAATTGCAGTAAAAATTTTAAAGCTTCATTTCTCCAAGGGTATTAGTGTTTTTAATACTAAATATTTAATGAAGTTTATTTATTGATCAGTTATTGTGTTGCAATAATAAAAATAATACTACCTTATACAGAGTGTCTAAAATTTATTTTAAATAATTATTAGCTTCAAACGGCAATAACTTGTTTAATTTAAATGGAACACCCTGTATATTTTACGAGAATCAGATGCACAATTTAATTGTCTATCAAATTATATTATACCATTTTTTACCTATCTCTTTAAGTTTCCGTAGAAAATGCATTTTCTTGTAATTTAGAACTTATTTATCAATATACCCATGGACTATTGACATTTAAATCTTTATAAAAGAGTATACCATTAATTAAATATAACACCATTATTTCCGCCCATATACTAATTAATGACATACTTAATTGTGTTCGTTAATAAATTATTATAAATAAATGTGGATTTTTGAGTCAGAAATCAATATAATAGTAAGTTATCAAATTAAAGTCTTTGTTGTTATAAATAAGCATTTATTAAAAAATGAAATATCATTTTAAGGTGTTACTTTTTATCACACTGTCTAATGCCCATACAAAATTCAGTTTTTTAGTATTTGGAGCAATTATTATTAATCAACGCAAACAGTCAGTTAATGTAGTTTGAATACTGGAATCATATTAATTGGTCCTCTTTAACAAATATTTAAACAGTTTTTTTTATTTTTTAATGAAATAAACGAATTATATCGACAACATTAGTATCTGTACTCTTTAAAAATTTGGTACATCTTTAAAAATAATCTAAAATGTCAATAGTCCATGGGTATATTGATAAATAAGTTCTAAATTACAAGAAAATGCATTTTCAACGGAAACTTAAAGAGATAGGTAAAAAATGGTATAATATAATTTGATAGACAATTAAATTGTGCATCTGATTCTCGTAAAATATACAGGGTGTTCCATTTAAATTAAACAAGTTATTGCCGTTTGAAGCTAATAATTATTTAAAATAAATTTTTAGACACTCTGTATAAGGTAGTATTATTTTTATTATTGCAACACAATAACTGATCAATAAATAAACTTCATTAAATATTTAGTATTAAAAACACTAATACCCTTGGAGAAATGAAGCTTTAAAATTTTTACTGCAATTTCACAAAATTGAAAATATTTCAAAAACGGTAAGGTTTAAGTATAATAAATCTTAATCAAATTTACCTTTATTTTAATCGTAGAAACTAAAAATGTAATAATTTACAGGGTGTTCCATTTAAAAAAATACAACTTTGATATTTTTTACTTATTTGGGACACTCTGTATCTTGCAAAATTATTTTTAAATTGTACCTCTAATAGTCCTTCATCGAACCCAGAACTTACAATTTGTAAAAATCTCATCGTTTAGCTACAATACTCCGTGTCGTATGTGGTGAACAACCCTGGATAGAACTCTGAATTCAAAAATCAATATCTAAAAATCCATTAGAAATAATTGATTGTAGTTTTTTCATAAACTTTCTTAAATTTCTGCTATATTTTCTTCGCAGACAGTATGTGAAAATCTTTATAAATAAAAAAGTTACATGATTGTTGAAAATTGCTACGCACTATAAGTAAATCGATGGCGTTTTTTAAAATTTTGAATGGAAAAAAAACAAGCGACCTATCGAATATTTCTTATTTAAACAGCTTGTAAAATATCCGAATTTCAAAATAAAAAAAGAAGTTTCAATATCTAAAGTGGTTCTTGAGTTATCGCGTGTTATGTGTTAAAAAGTTGAGTTTTTAAATTATCGTGATCGTCAGTAGTTTTCTCGTTATAAAAAATGGACACCTTAACGATATTCTTATAATTCCATTTCAGATGCTCAGAAACACATCTAATGATTTTATCAAGTTATCTTTTCGAAAAAAAGTCTTTTAAAAATAAGCGATTTACGGTCATGATTTTACTTTACCTGCTAGGGAAAGGCGTACCTACCGGCGAAATGTGGCAACGCCGCAACAGCACACCGTCGCATTTCTCTCACTCCGACTTAATATAGATCCCTATGCGATTTACTTCCACCTGTAAATGTAAATGTAAATACCGACCCAAAAGTAAGAGTTGCCAGCACGGTATATATAATTTGCTAAATCAAAAATATTGTAGCTAAAATTTTCTAACAAAATTGCGTTATTGAATGCTTATTATAGGAAAACGGCTAGGTATTTCATCAGACAAACAGGAAACTAAAAAATTTGAACGAATATTTTTTTGTAAAATGCAATTGGGTTATAACCCAAACATAATGAACAATATACAATAATTTTTTTTGATATGTATTTTAGGATATACCTAATCTCGAAAAATAAGTTGCGAAAATGGAAAGACGAATGAGAAATGAAAATAAATTGTGCCATCGCATTGTATCAAAATAGCTAAAATAATATTATTTATTATTGAAGTGAAACGTCTTTACGCGCGATAGAAGTAAAAATTCAAGGCCATGACACGAGACGGCCTTGACACACGAACTGGCGAGAAAAAAATGGTAAGTCAATGAGGAAGTTGAGATGGGTCTTTGGCAACCTCGGGCCCTATGTGAGCTACAGGGCTGAAACTCAGAACGTAGATGGGGCTCAAAGAGTCTCATCTTTTAATGATATTTTGTCAACGTTTTGTGCACTAGGAAACCCCATCATCAATGAATCAAATCGTGCGACTTAAACGAAATTTGGTATGCCGATAGATTACACCAAGGTCAACTTAATCGTGTACGACCGTAACCACCGCAATAACAAGGCCGGGCAGCTTATTCGTGACGTCATCAACTGGAGGCCTAAACTTTGATTGCTATTGATACACTTTATATGTATCTAATGGATATAAACTTTAATTGCACCGAATTTTTAATAAATAATAATTAAACATAAAATTTAAAAAACATCAGATTGATATCCCATCTCACATTATCCATCGTCATTGTATTTATTTATGCTGGAAGTGTGTCTAAGTTTCTTTTATTTCCTTTTCCAAGTCTATCATTTTTTTACAACAGTAGTTTTTCAGACGTGTATTTCTAATAGAATTTATGACAATTTTTACAATAACTTAGCATTATAAATAGTACATTGCGGAAATTTTAATAATGGTGGTATTACTTTTAATGTAATCCAAAGATATTTTAAAATATTTTTTTATTGTGAATTTTGAGAAACTCCTCATGGCTTTGCAAAACTTTGTTAAACATTATATATTCAAATAAAACTAGTTATTTCATCTTTTGGAAACCCAAGACTGCCTTTAGTAAGGTTTTTTATAAGTGAATTTTGTTCAATATCAGTGTTGTCTGAAAATGTTAAATTATTCTTACATGTATCGCATTTAATTTCCTTTAAGACAATATAACAGCAATGCCCTCCTAAATAAGCAATAACAGGCCTTTCTTCCTTCACATTTTCGATATCTTGTTCAGAAATAGTAATGTAGATGTTAAACCAATCTGATTCGATGATACTTGTATCGCATGGTATTTCTTTAGACAAAGTATTGTCATCATAAAATCATAAAAAGTATCGGTTATTATAGAACCAAAACAAGTAGATTTTAGGGACATTAATGTCTGAATCCTAAGTTTCTTTTCGCCTTCATATAAATGTCGAACACAAATATTGTACTGACTCCCAGCTAACTGTCTATATTTTCCGAGGGGTAAACACATAGGGCAAAAAGTGTACACCTACATCCTCTATCCTTAGTACATCCCCTACATCCTCCAGTACATCCTCGGTACATCCCCTACATCCTCGGTACATCCCCTACATCCTCGTACATCCCCTAGTACATCCCCTACATCCTCGGTACATCCACTACATCCTCGGTACATCTCTGGTACATCCCCTACATCCTCTAGTACATCCACGGTACATCCCCTGGAAATCCTCTCATGTGTACGCAATACATTTAGAATAATTTTCGTGATGAACCGTTTTACGTATCTAAAATACTTTTCGAGATATACTTATCTTGGACACACTGTATATATTTTTTTTTAAATTTTATTTGAATGGTAAAAAGAAAGTTAAAGTTTTGAACGCTATTATCTCCGAAACTATTAAATATATAAAAAAAAGATGAAGCACCATTTCGACTTACATTTACTAGAGGGATATAAAAATTTACAGGGTGTTTTATTTAAAATAACAAAATTAAGGTTACTTTACTTACGAC